AATTTACTCCCTTAATTGTAGTGTGTAGAAAGCAGTCATAACTGAAAGTAGACGTTTACTAGAAAACAGGAATTAAGCGCATCGTGGCCACAGCATGCGACGTTTACCCGTCAGAACCCCGGCCCTGACTTCGGTAGACGCGCCTGTTGTGAACGTTCTTCAATGGTCCTTGACTATGATGATATGGTTACTCATCAATTCTCTTTGTTATTATTAGTACCGAACGGGTCGATACCAAAGTAGGCTTCTTGAAGTCACCGCACGACATCATCAGAGACTTGACCGACGGTATCACAAAGATTCAACGGAACGATCGTAAGTCATGTTCTGCCTACAAAGGTATTTGCAAGCTATGCTTGCTTACGCGTAGGCTGTTCATATTCTCGTATTTCAGATTTCCCGACATGTTGTTAGAATTATTATTTTTAGGATAATATTAATGCTTACATTATATGCAGCATTTTATATATCCATAGCTTTATGATACATTCTGCTTATGGATATATTATCCGATCAATACTCACACACATTTATAATCGTAGCTAGATTGGAGAAAGGTTGATATATCGCATATGCTGTTTCTTTTTATGCGTATCGAGTAACCGAGCATAATCTTCCACTTTGATATACGTATAATAAAAAGTGGAGAATGGCTCTTAGGCGAGACATTGTAATGGTTTTAGATTTACGCACGGCGATTTGCATCGAAATAATTGGTACAAGTTTTAGTATTACGGTTATAGACTATTTTGATCTAATCATACGGGTATAGCTTTTAGCATTACGGTTAGACCTAAATATAGTCTTTTTTTATCTAACCTTTGCACTGAAGTATTGGTACAAGTATTAACATTACGGTTAGACTGTAAATATAGACTATTTTGAAAGACATTGCTTCTACTAACTATGATAGAAACATCTTGTATGAAATAATAAAAATGTATGCGGAGGGAATAGTGTGTAAAACACTGATGGAATTTAACAGCGAAAGTGTAACCATATATAATAATTTATAAACCACGTATATGAAGTTAATAATCAAGGGACAACAACAGTAAATATGATATACTCAGACTGGTCGATAAACGACTTGTCATGCTAAACTCTGAAAAATAGTATATTCAATCATAAGTCGTTTATGAAAATGCCAGCTTATGCTTCAGTATTTTAACGATAGAACTGCATGTTCATGTACGGTTATTATTTTTGTTCAGGACAAAGAGTTCTTCATGCCGCAGTAGTTAAAAATCCAGTATTTTGTGCGTCAAAAAGATTTAGATTTCCCGAAATATTCATCGTTTTAATTGGTACTACGCTAATCTCAGTAGATAAGCCCGCCCACGTGATAATTGTAATAAAGTGGATCCTATAAGATTGTTAAGTATTTTACTCTCTGTAAATGCAAACTTCCGCAAATGCAAGCCATGCCATATGGTCCCGATGCATTACATTTCGAGAAATTTCACTGTACGTATTACCATTCCTTCAATGTTAACTGGTTGATCGCAACTCGCACGGTAACCGATGTAAAAAGTAATAAAATAAAAGAGTCGAAAATTAGCTGCAAGTATTGCTACAGTCTTTAGAAGCGTAACCCTTCAAAAGCCTGAGGTAAATGATTTAACAACAATATGCATTAAAACATCGTACAATTAGAGCAATATGATCATACAATTAACCAGCATGTCATTGGAATCATAATATTAAGGTAACTATTTACAATAATCAAATGATAAGCGCAAATAGTTCTGATGAAAGATGTGCAACGTCAGGTAAGAAAAAGGCAAGTCGATTCTGTCGATCGTTAAGGGTTATAATACAAACACAGGTGAATGCACAAACATACTGTATGAGGAAACCGCGCCCAACTGAAAGCCGAAATAACTAGCGACGATAGAAAGTTCTGTATTACAGTTTCATATTCCATCATCCGGCATAAAAAAACTCGCGTTGAACTTATACCAACGTTTTTAAAGGTATACGATAACCGGTCAAGTTATCGAAGATTACCTCAACACAATTGAGCTTTTGCACAAAAATTCGGCTATAAATCGATAATCAAAACTGCGGATTATCATACGCAGTTCTAACAACAAAGAAACACCTGCAAGAATGCTCCACTGTCTTATAACTTTTTCAGCAAAAAAATTTTCCTATGACTGGAGAAACAAACGTCATAGCTCGTCTGCGTATTTGGCTATTCAATTAAATCGAATTACATAGCTACTTGACACTTTAGCGTTCATTTCGTAATAAAGAGCGCAAACATCCCTGTGTAATTTACAGTAAGCTCGAACGTTTTATTATACCGTAAATGTAACAATTCGAAAGTTTTTTTAATTCGAACACGAAAATCAAATAGAATATTTTCAAAAAATCTATAAATTGATTTAATATTCAAACTTTACTGAAATTCGACGACTATAAACTTTAATGCTTGATTAGTGATTTACCGAACGCATTAACATGATATTTCTTTGATGTAACGATAATTTAAATAATTGGCGGAGCAAACCAAAATTTTATTTCTTTTTCGAGAAAAAAAAAGATAGCTGCCAGCTGATATTTTAAATTGGGAGAGGAAACGGAGGTGTTGTGGGTTGACAAAACAAAAAAATAAATAAATTGAGATAGTAATGACAGTTGTCTTGGTGATTTGAAATACATTATGTCACAAGGAAAGAATACTGCAGCGCAATTTTTTTCTTATAAATACACACACTGTGTCGTGGGCTTGATTATACGTAACAGTTATGTAAAAACGGTTGTATAAATTTCCTATAAAGCTTACCAGAAGAAGTAATTAAGGGAAAGTCTGAAATTTTAATATGGGAAATGATGGACGCGAATAACGAATGGGAATGCATCATTGGCAAAACAGTGCATCAAGAGATAAAGGTAGATATTTATTATACGTTAATAATATATGACATAACTGTATATTGTTAGGCAGTCCCTAGATTTATTCAAGTTATTGTGTATTAATGCAGAAAGCGGCGGATGATTAGTGTTTACAATGCTATATAGTCGTAGAAAAATACCCAAATTGGATCTATGGTTTAGTAAATATATTTGAAAACAGCTGATATTGTATGCAATTTATTATTAGGCAAGTTGCTCTTAGAAGTTAGCATTAGATTTGCCTTTCACTCTTACACAAAAAAGTTACATGACTACAACTTCTTGATCAATTGAACAATTCATTAAAAATACCCCTCTGCATTTAGGGCTGCCTGCTAAATTAAATATAAATCAACCGTAAAATGAGTAGCAGTGACAGCAGGTGGGCTTGTGGCAGAATATGTCCCTATTGCTGGGAACTCCCCTCACAATCGGGGGGTCCCAGAAGACTTCTGACACTGGAATAGTAATTTGGTAAGCGGGAAGGCCTGCACTAGCGCAAGTAGTACTGGTATCAGTTCCATTCAAAGAGTTCCGAAATCCCACTGTTATATTTACAAAAAAAAAACCAAGCATCTGACTTTGGTCACAAAAAATACTAGCAAACAAATCAAACTTACCGTTTGCACGAACACTCCTAGTACAGTTGGTACTGGTGTATTCACTGCTATGCCATGCGAGTCCATAACTTTGTCTAAATATTAAAAAAAATTTTAAAATTTGCTATCATAGAATGTTAAACAGTAACAAGACATACTATCATCGATCGATTAAACCGTCCGCGTAGTCCTTCGTTCATAGAGCTTGATCCCCAGTGCATATCTTACATACTGTTGTTTCATTCAGCGCTCGCATTTGTTCTCTAATAACTCAAGACTTTGTGACATAGCTACCTCACACTATTCGTGCATGAGGATTTGCCTAGCAATCAAATTAATGTCAATAAAGTACACTCACAACAGTATGATACATATCAAACTCAAATTACATCAGCGTCTACGGGAGGAATTAGCTAATCTGGACGTGTAACAGGTCGCATAGTGAAAGTAGGAGGTGCTTGAACGTGCACTTTATTTGGTCTAATAGAAAGATCCGGTGCAATTTTCTTCATCTTTCTAGAGGTTGGATTATAATGAACTGTGGAAAGATATAAAAATATAGCAAACTATGATAATCAACACGAAACGAAACTAAAAAGGAATTATTGGCGGGTTATCAACAACACCTCCATTGGCTTGGTGGAAGAAATGTGACAGCCGCATAACCACCTCTTCGTGCACTTCTAAAGCCATATCAACTTTAAACAGTTTTCCGTCCCTAGCCAACTCAAACTTGTATCCAGGTGCTTCTTGGCGTTCAATAAAGTTATTGTATATCTTCGCTGACACACCTGAGCCAATCTGTAAAGGCAAGCTACAATCGTACAAAAATCAATATTCGATTGATCTTAGGATCAACCTGCGTGGCCTTACTACCTGTCCTCTGTGGCAAGCCTTTCTCTTGCCTTCCGAAAATTTCTGTCTAGAATATACTGATCAAACATTGGGGTAACTGAAAAGGATGGTGAAAAATACAGCGGTGTCTAAATGATTGTTCACTTTATCATCAAAGTATGTGATTAATTAAATTAGAATACGTGAGATAGTATCGATAGTAACCTTTGCTTTTTTCGACTCAAAGTAACACAATCGTCGAGAATTTGCGCAGTGCAGATCATTCTTGACAGCTAATATTAGCTAGTCCTTAAATATCGAAAATTCTCGACAGACACACAAAGTCGCCTTATTTATCCAAAAATCTTGACAGTTTAGTGCAACAATAATTAGTTATATATCGGGTCGTAGACGATAGCTAAAAATCATCTCGAATAGATCATATCTTCAGCAAGACGTTGCTATTAGGATAGTTCTCTTATTTCTAATAAAAATTCAATTCAATCATAAATAATATTATTTCGTTTATTACCTGATAAGAAGTGTAAAACGCTTTCCCCGTCATCGGCGAATAGGATTGATACTTGCCAATCAATTCTATGTAGTGCTTTTGCGTCAGGATTATTGTTTAATAGTTTAGATAAGATAATTCCCCGAACCGATAGGCTTTGAGACTAATCCCATCAAAGAAATCGAAGTGATTACTCGAGGTTAAACAATAATCTAGGGACAGCGTATACAAGACCGATAATATACAGATCGTGAGTATAAATCCTAGTTTATCAAACATCTTTCTGCTTTGTGGCGCGGGCTTATGAGTACCTACCTCCCCATTAACTTACCTACTTGCCAAATCCGTCACGTCACGGAACAGCTTGTTTGATAAAATAGCCAATTACTATTAATGTTAGATGATACGTTATGCATAATCCTGCAATAAACAAATACTTATTATACTTGTTGCATGTATTGTGATATGATTATATCGAGCATTATCATATACACTAGACATATCATCAGCTCTTGATTTGTAATCGCACGCGTGACCTACAATTGTTTGTGAAACATATAATCGCCTCGCCTCCGTACGATTGATTCGCCAAATTCAGTAAATATGTCCTTGAGTCAATCGCCTAACAACGTATACAGAGAGTGGTTAGCTCTGAGCATCGAAGAAGGCTTTATCAGACAATATGCAGAAAATGACCTCATTGATCGTACACTTCTCGGACATAATGAATATGGCGTTGTATACAAAGCCAAAATAAGGCAGTCTAGAGTACCAGTCGCAATGAAAACTTTATTTCTAAACCGTTATGGTTGTGAAGAAGAACTGTATAAACAGTTTGTCAAAGAGGTAGCACTGGTTATTTATTGTTCTAATTGTTGCATGCTGGTTAAACCGTAATCTATAATGTAAATGTACATACAATAGTTGACAACCCACCAGCAAGTGGATAATCATCCGAACCTTATACGGTTCTTAGGAATAAGTCAGGAAGGTATGTTAAGCAATATTGGATATCCAATCCAGTTTACTGTATACTTTATAAAGTCTCTCTTAACTTTATAATTTAAACAGATCTATCTGGTCATTACCACATGGTCCTTGAATATGCAGATGGTGGAACTTTGTGTGAACACCTACAGAAATACTTCCCTAATCTGACATGGAACGACAAGTACAAGCTGGGAGTGGAGATTACTGAAGGATTGATGCATTTACATAGTCTTGAAATTATTCACAAGGACTTGGTATGTTTTTTTTTTACTTAACTGTTATATAAATATATTTGATATACAATTACCATCATACACTAATCTTGGCACATTTGTGTCATATGGAATTAGTCACCAACAAATATTCTTATTCAAGGAGGGATTGCAAAAATAACTAACTTTGGGTTGTCCACTGCCCTCAAACAAATTATGTCTGCATCAAAAAGTGAAGGAAATACTAATACAGCATATATTGATCCATTATTTTTTGAGGACAGTTCTTTTAGACATGGGAAAAAATCAGATATTTTCAGTCTTGGAGTAATACTTTGGGAGATTTCAAGTGGGAAACTTCCATGTCAAGGGGCTACCACAGATTATGAAATTTTCTTATACAGATTGAATGGTTATCGTGATTCTCCCTTTCCTGGAACATCTGAGTACTATATCAATCTATATTCAGAATGTTGGGATGAAAATCCTGATAAACGGCCAGCATGTGAAAAAGTAAATAACATACTAAAGTCATTAATAACTCATATGCAATCATTAGTTTGCACATTAGATCTGAGTAGATGTAAAATTGGGAACACAGGAACAACAGCTTTGGCAAAGGCTCTGGAGACTAATTTCTCTTTCACATCTCTGGATACAGTTTATAATGAGGTTAAGATTGGATATGCCAGAGCTAAAGCAGCAATAAAAAAGGTTTTGGAATCAAAGTCTCATTTGACATCTCTAAATTTAAGTCATAATAAGATAGGGGATATAGGAGCAACAGCTTTGGCAAAAGCTTTGGAATCAAATTCTTGTTTGACATCTCTAAGTTTAAATGTATCTCAAATAGGAGATACAGGAGCAACAGCTTTGGCAAAGGCTCTGGAATCAAATTCTTGTTTGATATCTCTAAGTTTAAATGCATCTCATATCGGAGATACAGGAGCAACAGCTCTAGCAAAGGCTCTGGAATCGAATTCTTGTTTGACAACTCTAAATTTAGGTTGGAATAAAATAGGAGATATAGGAGCAACAGCTTTGGCAAAGGCTTTGGAATCAAATTCTTGTTTGACTTCTCTAAGTTTAGAATGGAATGAAATAAGAGCTACAGGAGCAACAGCTTTGGCAAAGGCTCTGGAATTAAATTCTTGTTTAATATCTCTAAATTTAGGTTGGAATAAAGTAGGAGATACAGGAACAATAGCTTTGGCAAAGGCTATAGAATCAAATTCTTGTTTGACATCTCTAAATTTAGGTTGGAATAAAATAGGAGATACAGGAACAATAGCTTTGGCAAAGGCTTTGGAATCAAATTCTTGTTTGACATCTCTAAATTTGTATTGGAATAAAATAGGAGATACAGGAACAATAGCTTTGGCAAAGGCTTTGAGATCAAATTCTTGTTTGACATCTTTAAATTTAGTACATAATGAGGTAGGAGATATAGGAGCAACAGCTTTAGCAAAGGCTCTAGAATCAAACTCTTGTTTAACTTTTTTGAATTTAGAACATAATAACATAGGAGATACAGGAGCAACAACTTTGGCAAAGACTCTGGAGTTATACTCTTGTTTAACTTTTTTGAATTTAGAATGTAATAAGATAGGAGATGCAGGAGCAACAGCTTTGGCAAAGGCTCTGGAATCAAATTCTTGTTTGACATCTCTAAATTTAAATTCAAATCAAATAGGAGATATGGGGGCAACAGCTTTGGCAAAGGCTCTGGAATCAAATTCTTGTTTGACATCTCTAAGTTTAGACTGGAATAAAATAGGAGATACAGGAGCAACAGCTTTGGCAAAGGCTCTGGAATCAAATTCTTGCTTGATATCTCTAAGTTTAAATGCATCTCAAATAGGAAATACAGGAGCAACAGCTCTAGCAAAGGCTCTAGAATCAAATTCTTGTTTGACATCTCTAAATTTAAATTCAAATCAAATAAGAGATACAGGAGCAACAGCTTTGGCAGATGCTCTAAAATCAAATTCACACTCAACAAGAGAAAAGATTAAGAAGTTTTTAGTAGAATTTTGAACTAAAAATTCTTTGTTGATATTAATATAGATAATAAAATACTGAATCTTATACAATAATACATGATCAGATTGTTATGCAGCCAGTTAATAGTCCATTTTGTCTAACTTCAGCTCAAAGTTTTCAGGCATAAAGATTAATTCAAACTGCTATTATAATTAGAGGCAGAAATTTCTATATACACAGTGAAAGTTGATACACCGGACTGTTCGGGACCTGCGTTTTAATCCATAATATTGCCGGTCCGTAATATCGACTTGTGAGTTTTATATCAGATATTATTTAGTAAACAAATTTTGTTCCAGAGAAAAGGTCCGTTTTATTGACGGTCCGTTATATCGATGGTCCGTTATATCGACTTTCACTGTGTAGTCAGGTGTGAAAAGATTTGCACCTCAAAAAGAGGCTAACAAGCATAGCATAAAATTTATGTATTAAGCAGACATCTTTTTACTTAAATTGTATCAATACATATTCGGGATATAAAAATATAAAATCGATTCATCATTATCAGAGCCATTATAGTGTTAGGCGAGTCTATCTGATGAATCAGATCGGCAAGTTAATCTTCCTTTCCTTTAATGTCGATCGATTAGTTCTTAATATTTAGTAATACCACAAAATATCGCTATTTATTGCAGATGTCCATAGCCACTTTTCGGCAATCGATTCTAAATTTAGACGTTGCCCTAAATCTGCAGAGAATTATCGGCCGAGAAAAGATATAAATGAGTCAAATTCCATCATCAAGCTGATATTTGTCATATATAGTTACCAAGGCTTTTTGTAATAAACGCTTTTGGAAATCAATTCACTTTTATTTTCTAAAAGAGTTTAGAGTTATGCAATACGGACCATCAATTTGAACGAAAACGTTCAAAAGATATTGGCACACGCAATTACGCGAATAGCGCAAAGCATCAATCTATTGACACAACTAGACTCAGCCCTTCTTATTGATAAACGTATAAAGTAAATAATATTGAGTAACGGGAATGTTGACTAGTCAACACTTACACTAAGCTCTGAGTTTGATTAAAAATTAATTTTTCCTTCGACTTAGTGACTATTAAACTGTTGTTGTTTGACAATCGTTAGTCCCTTATTTAGATATTAGAAACTACATCGTATAGGGCGCGAATAACTAATTATTAACAATAGGTCATTTGAAGCATAGCTCAGTCTTATTATCACGTAGGTTATAAAATAAATTATTCAAAGGTTTTACTTATTAGGTTGCCAATAGGGTGGTTTACATAAATTTGGAAACGTTGGACGAGTTTTACATACATGTAAACGCGGTGATTACATATACAACATATTGAAATAAAATAGTGTTATGTAATGTTATAGCGAGTTGCGGATAAATTACATAGACAAGCCGCGTGGTTTTACCCGTTTTTTTTCAGCATATTCTGTGTAAAATTTTAAGACTAGTTGGCGCACACAGCCAGCATTAAATCATTCAACAAAAATCCATCGTTACCTGATTGTAGTATCGGGTTTTGATGAAGTAATTACGTATTCATATCATCCTCGAACTGATTTACAGTGAATTAAATAAGTTCCAAATCATAAACACAAATTTACTTGGAATTCATAGAAACAAGATAATTATTTTGAAATGTGCCAACATTAAGGAAACTATCAATTTGTGGTTAACTTATTTATGTGCTTGATGGCGAATTTCTGGTTTCAATAAACACAGAACCGATTGACATTATACACTACTTTCATGAAATATTATAGGCTATGGTTCATATCACTTACAGTATTACATGGGTTGTCTGAAAAGTTTAACAATACAGTGTGTGACAAAAAAAGTTGCCGTTTTATTATAACTTTCTGCCACCAATTTTAGCACAAAACGCGTCATGTAAAAACTAAAATAAAGCTCGTGTTTACGGCTTACTTTGTGTTCCATTGCATCCCGCGTGTTATTTTGTGTCTTTGGAAAATACACTCTGTAAATATCTTCACAATGACAAGAAAATAAGTTTATTACATTTTTGGAAGCAGGGCATACGTTCTGGCCTGCTAACAGTCCAGGCTTAAACCCCATTGAGAATCTATGGAGTATAGTTAAAAGAAATGGATGCCACAAAATTTGAATAATTTAGAAAGGATGATGGTGGAGGAGTGGGATAATATTCCTGATGGGACTATAATAAATTTAGTTAAGTCAATGAAAAATCGTTGTCGACTAGTTATTGAAAATAATTGAGAAAGAATTAATTATTAAAATTAATAAATAAAATCTGCTTGTTTTAAGCTTTAAATTGATATATTTACTGTGTAATTTGATGCACTGGTTGCAAATCTACAAGACATTTTAGTGCGGCAACTTTTTTCGTCACACACTGTATATATTTATCTTAATGATTAGTGCAACTACTCAAATAAAGTAATAATGTAATTAAAGTTCAGGTCCGCTTTCTGCTAAATTATATGCCAATTTGTATATTTCCTCTGGGTCAAGATTTTCTTCATTTTCCTTAATAAATTGAGAAAGCTTTTTAACGGGATCTCTTCCCATAACACGCCCCCAGAAGCTTGCACGGGGATAAGAGCGTATGTTTGTTTTTTATTAAATCCTAATTTCTGGATTTGACTAATTCTTTGGCGTAACTGCTAAGCTTAGCTACGCTCATCTGAAGGGTTAGGTCGTATTGATTTACGAAATTTGTATCAATTTTCGACATTGTCTTATGGGATGATTGTGCGGATTGTAACTATGGAAAATAATTTTTCAATTCAAAAATAATTATCGGGTCAAAATTGAATACACTGCAAAAAAAATTCCGTCAAATTAAGGACAAACATTTCTTATTATTATTATTTATTCCGCCGTACACTGTGGTACCATCAGAATATGATTCCGTACAATAATTAAATAAATATTCGATTAATTTTAGAGTCAACCTGCGTGATGTCTACTACCTGTCCTCTGTGACAAGCTTTTTTCTTGCCTTCCGAAAGTTCCTGTCTAGAATATACTATCAAACATTGTAACTGAGAAGGATGGTGATATATATCAGTATAGCGGTGCGGTATTTAAATAATTATCATCAAAACACGTGATTACCGTAGAGCGCTGACTAAAGTACCCCACTGTAAAGTACCCCCACCATATAAGGTAAAAGATTGTGGCTTATAATAACCAAGAATAGAATAGATGAGTGTCATAGTGTGTTCTAGATTGATTGAATTGTTGTTAGCAAAATTTGAGAAATATAATTCTGTACCCCGGGTACTTTACATGGATACATAGTACTCTGTCCATAGTACCCCCCGAGTAAAGTACCCCCTTTTAGTCAGCGCTCTACGATAATTAAATTAGAATAGTAATAGACTCTCGTGAATAAATTACCATGATATGATTATGATTATACACTGTGATTACTGCTAGACAACCCCCTAAAGTTTAGATTTATGTGACGCTTGTCGATTATTCGAAGGGGTCTGTTTAGATAATCTGATTTGCCTTACCAGCTGCAGTTATGATGCTATTTAGAGATCGTATGTTTTAAGCTTTTAGCAAAAAAGGATTGTAAGTCAGGCAACCACAAAGAAATAGAACGATAATTGGTTTCGAAAATTGTATGCTAGTCAAAACAATTAAGATCTTCAACAAAAAAGGAATCCAGCAATCACAAAGAATGAATAATTTGAATGTCGAAATCGTATGATGATCAAAATCATTAGGCTTTAACAAAAAAGGATTGTAAGGTAGTCGCTTTCAAAAGACTTTCTGGAGTCGTATGATAAATTCAACAATGACATAGATTCATGAATACTAACGTTGCTGTATTGACAATGCTCTCCGTTGTTTTATATAAGTAAAGCCCAACTCTCTTCCATTTCGCATTGTCAAAAATTTACATAGTGTACAAACATGTCCAATGATTGTTTTAACTTCATCTCTTGTGCCAAATTTGATGAATTGGTGGAGAATTACTTGTATAATACATCACCCGATCGTCGCGCAAAAGCCACTCTGACTCAAGAAATTGTAAACCAGACGATTAAAATTCTGATACAAGTACAAATCCACGATACAAACACTGGGTACTGCAAACGTTCAGCATTATGCATATTGGCGAAACAACAAATATGTACGATGTGTAGTCTGTTCTATACATCAAGATTTACAACACGCTGGCTACAAAAAGACATTCGAAGAACTCAAACACCAATACAGTTACGTTCCCAGAAAATTAATTGTTGCATTTATTAATGCACAAATCGACGGCCAATAATATCTGCAAAACCCAATATATTGCCAATGAATTTATGTCGCGGGTTCAAGTGGATTTGATCGATTTGAGAATTCGACCGGATGGTGATTATAAATATACAGCTCACGCTAGAGATCATTTCACCCGTTTTTCCTGGGCAACAGTGTTAAAAAATAAGTAAACCGAGGATATTTAATATTGTCGTACATAAAAAGAATTGGACACTGAAGCTGTCATAAAACCATCAACTTGTGCGATTGGCCGCTTATTCACTATCTCCGCCCGTAATATGTTTGACTAAATGATGATATTAATGTGCACACATTGATCATGAGATGTCGTCACACACGTTAAACAATATTCTACCACAAATTATACTCACGAAGCACGATTGATAATCGAGTCAAAGAAACTAACGTGAACAAATATCACATTTGACATGTTTATATTCTCCTTCGCCAACAGTTTACACTGCAGACTCGGTGTTAATTTGATCCGAGCTTAACATTATGTTGTGGAGGGGTATCATATCTGTGAAATCATTTACTCTATAATTGATGACATCATCTGTCTAGCACTTTTACTGTTATTAGTTAGTCCTTGTGATACGGTAATAATGAATGTTATTGTGTAGATAACATAGTAAAGCATCTCTGTTTGAGTTGGATTTCCATTTACGTTTGTCATCACTTTCGGTAAAAACCTTCTTCATATTACTATTACTTTTAATGCCATAATCCGAGTTAACCAAAAAAGGCAATTTGGATGTCATTGACTCGATAAAATTGTTTAAGGCTTTGGGTTGGCAAAAAGTTTAAATTGTGGCTTTTTGTTTTCGAAAAAGGGCCTGGCTGCATGAAGCATAACATCCAGTCTCACGTCGTATATCCTACGATGTGAGGCAGTGTACATTGGGGATGGGCGGGGCAATGTGGCAGAGGAGAGGAGCGGACATTCGGTATTATATATTATACATATTATACTAATTAATTATTTATTATTTATGAAAATGATCGGATAACATATTTAGGCATTCCATTCCAGTACCACCCCACCCACACCTATCCAATCAAACAAAATCTGAAAAACAAATCTTATTTCGCCACTGAACAACCCAAAACTCTCTCGCTTACCTCAAGTCACTATGGGGGAAAAAGGAACAGACGTTGAGCTTCGAGATTTCTCGGAACAATCTCTCCCAATACCAGAACTCAAAGTAACTGGCCCTGAAGCAAGACACCTAAACACCGTGGAAATTATAAAGTCTGATCTGCATTATATAAGGGTATGAAAGAAAATATGCAAGAATCCTAGTGGCCAAGTCAAACAAGAGAACTTGTCGTGTAATACTAAAATTATTTGGTATCTGCGGTTGTATGTAGGGATTTCACAATGCAAAAGAGACTTTACAACCAGCAGAGTTGGTCGTGACTGGTGAACTTCCCACATGGCTGAATGGTGAATTATTCACCGTCGGACCTGGAATTTACGATGTTAAATATAATAAGATGATAGAACTTGGGAACGGGCAATACGAGAGCGGAACAGCTACATTTTCAATGGGACATTGGTTCGATGGGTATGTGTCCTGATGATCGACATTAAAGAACAGAATGTACTTTGATCTCGGAAACGAAGATTGACAATCTTCATTCACGTCACTAACGTCTACCGTTCAACGTAGTCTCCCACTGCTAAATCGCTTTATATTGGATGGAACAAACAACAAAATAATTTATCGGTCGAGATTGATTGCTAAGAAGCAAGAAGAAAAAATACGCGACAGACACGGAATTATTACCACGCATCCTTATTCGCTATTTAAGACTCATGCAAAGTATGTTTATTCATTAACATGTTATTTTTGGTCATGAACGGCCGGATACCTAGAAAGCTGTATTAATGTTTATACTTCTGTAGTCAAACTCCGTTGGCAAAGCTAATGGTCAAGAGGCGTCCCACAAAACCGGAACAAGAACCATGTAGTGCAAGCATCCACGTTAACTTTCCGCTAAACGTGCCGGGAGAACGGCCCAAGATATTTTGTCAGAATCATTCAACCCAGGTAATTATCGCTACTGGCTGCATGCACAGATTCATGTCGCCACGCTTCCATATGATAGCTTTCCCAAAAAATCACGCTAATACAACTCTTATTCCATCTATCCTATTCTTTACGCCGTAAGGTCGTAGAACTGGATGCTCACGACTTGACTCCGACGCGTTTGTGGTCATGGAACGACTTAAACCCATCCTTTCAAGGCGTACATGCTGGACCCCATTCGCACTACGACGCTACAAGAGGAGAGTTAATAAACTTCAACATGGAATACCACGCGTTAGGAACCAAATACAACTTTTTCATGATTTCCCAAAAAAATCCAAAAGGAGAACTTATTGCAAGCGTTACGGCAAAGTCATCGTACGTGCATAGTTTTGCAGTCACTCCGCGTTTCATTATCTTGGTATGTAGGGACATAGAGTGGCTCATGGCGCGAAAGTGTCGGTAAGGTTGTGATGAAGGAAACGGGAACGAACAAAGCATAAAAAGACTATGAGAACTTTTTCATAGTGTTGGTCAAGGTATAACAGCTATATACATTTTTTCGTAGCTAACAATTTCGGAATTTTCATAGACGCTTTACCCATTCTACGCCAAGAACGCTGGATTAAATGTTAAATGGGTCGATAACATCATGGATGCGTTTGTATTTCGCCCAGAGGAGCCCACTCTTTTCTATGTTATATCAAGAGCCAAAAAACAGCATGTCGCCACATATAAATCAGATCCTTGTTTCGCGTAAGAATGTATTCCATATTTATTTCGAGCTAGTCGATGTTAACAAGCTAATGCAGATTTTCTCTTACTGATTCGTTTCCCATTCCATTCATACCAATTTTTTCGTTTCTTTACATAGATTTCATCACATAAACGCCTTTGAAGACGATGATGACAACATTTACATCGACATTGCAAGTTACGAAGATAGCGCAATCACAAACTACCTGACTCTTGAAAGTTTACGTCAAGGTTTTCTCGTCGATCTACCATTAGCCGAAATACGTAGATTCGTGCTAACAAACATCCAATTGGAATCCATAAAATTCACAAACATTCCGCAAGCGACACAAAGAGAGGTTCTTCAGAACACGGTTGCGAACTTGTTTAGGGCACGTCCGACTAATGTACAAGGGGATATCCACTCGTATCCCGTCGCTAACTATTCAAGGTGTGCGGACTCGGCGCTCGAGTTGCCAAGGTAAGGAGGTATTTGGGTATGAAGGTTTGGAATTGGGAATCGGAAGGGCAATAATACAAAATGAGAGTATGATGGTGACGTAATATGAGCAAAGTGGATGAGGCGATGCGTAGATATGAAATAGTAAAGTATAATCGAAACATGTTTCGTTTAGGATTAATCCACGCTATCAAAGAAATCGATATCGATATGTTTACGGAATTAGCTTTTCAGAGAAAGCTGCAACAAACCCAGGGGAGATATGGGATGCGTTGATCAAATGTGTAAGTCATTTTCTTTGACCAATAACATGTGATATATTTTTCATTTTCCTTATCGATTTATTTTCTTCGTTTATCCTACGTATCAACTTTGTATTTACTGACTGTCTCAAATCCGTTAATCGCTATCTCTTTAGGATCTGGAAAACAAAGATGTAGTTGCAATGTGGTGTTCTGACTTCTGTTATCCGTCAGAGCCAATGTTCATTCCCGTTCCCAATATAGACAGTGACGAAGACGATGGAGTGATCGTCAGCGTTATTTTTAATGGAAAAGAAGAGAAGAGTTTCCTACTCGTTTTAGAGGCGAAGGAGTTGAAAGAAATTGCTAGGGTTGATCTGCCGCAAGTGATTCCGTTATCTTTCGGACACGGTGCCTACAAAGAGACACCGAAAGAATGAAAAGAGACATTGTCGGAGAGAAGAAGCAAGTTTAAATTAAGATGTCATTAGAATCGCTTGTTAGGATTGTTGTTTAAGTTTTGAATGTAAAGTTTCAAAGAAAAGATTCCAACTGTAATTTTTGTTTGACAATATAAATTATCTGTCATTTGCTACATTGAGTTTGTATGTTTAATCGTTGAAGTTAAGTATCAGGTGATTTACAAGACACGCAGTATTAACTTGCCAATTAACCTAGTACAGTCGAACCTCGTTATACCGAAGGAATTCTGGCTCCCCCGTTTTTTAAATAGGAAAATTCCCTCGTTATAACGAATTTAATAGTAAAATCTCGTTATACCATTACCGAAGTTTTCGATGCAGGATTTTTACATATGCTTTATACGAAGTTGTGTCACGTGATAAAAAAGTAGAATAGTGATTGGTTGTAGCAGATGAGGATCATATGATTTTGGTCATCCGATTTTGTATCTATTGTTTTTTAAATTCAGTATGATACTCGCACATATTGTTCCATCATGCAATTTTCGATCGTACGATTAATTCTGAGACGTAAATATAATTAGAATAAAGATATTATTCACATAAGACTCATTATACCGAATATTGCTTGACCTTGGGCCTAACTTCGTTATATAGTGGTACCTCACTATACCGAATATCTCGTTATACCGAATCACACTTCGGGATAGTATAATAATGCGCATAATAATAACGATTAAATAATATGCTCTATATTTCTTACGCAAAGCGGCTAACAGTAAAAGTACACGATTTTATTTCGGGAATCCTGTTAACTCGACCATATTGACATATATGGAAGCATATCGTATTTAATTGGAAGAGGAATAAACCCTTCGTATAAAACTGTGAATTACAAGCGTCAATCATAAACCAGTGGACGATGTTAATATTGTCTGATTGACTTCGTTTATATAAACAGAACCAATTGTTGTCTTTGTAACTGCCACTAATCCAAACTACCTGTCTTAAACCTCGTCAACTTCCCCTAACTCTACCTGGTTTAGTATTAGGCAGATTTCCGGTAGGTAAGAGCGTACTAGAATATTTACTCTCCTTTCGAGACGTGATAAGGGTTTTAAACAGCACTCCACGTATTGTCATCAGAATTGTCCTTGCCCATAAGATCGTAAATATCAAAATAAAGTTCCTGAGCATCTGGACGCTTATCAGGATCAGCATCATCAGCAAGTTTCTTATTATTTTATCCCTCTGGTGCGGAATCAGGCATCAATGGTCATAGACAACCAATTGACTACCTCTACACAAAAACAACCTCCTCCTAAGAACACCAATGATAATCCCCCATTATATGTCCGACTCATCACCTTCTCTACATAACTCTATATCTATACACTTCCCTACCAAAAGTCTCTGGAATTTTTGTCATATAGTTTGGAGTTGTGAGAGGTGGTGTGATGACAATGAATGCAAACACCTTCAGCATTCGATCATAGATGCAACTAATACTAATAAAGGAACGCAAAACTCCAAGTGATAATTGCCTTTTTAGTGCAAGTACACCTTTAGCATTCAATTGTAGACACAAAACTCCAAGTGAGGACAATATCCTTGTCAAGTATTTTCATACAAACTGGAATAGAATGATTTGGATCAGGTTTAACAATAACATCCCATTTTTTGGTAAGTAAAGTGACAGGAGAGATTTCAACAATAGAGGGGAGAGATGGTAAGTTTTTTCATTGAGGAGTTGAGATATTTCTGATTATGATGGGCTTCTTCATTCTTGGAGGTAAGCTCTAAGAAGTGACAAGAGAATAGCTTTATCAGAGATGAACAGATTGCTTTGCTGATCAAAGGAGAGACTATTGGGTGAGGAGGAGTACAGCTAATGAATGGTTTTTGCTTGAAATTAGATTTAATGTTTTCCCAGAAGAAAATTGAGAAGGCACCATCTGGGTTAACAAGAGGGAATTTCTCTGAAATAGTTAGCAGGTGCTTTGCCTCTTTCAGCAGCTGGATATGGAATGACTTTCAGAAGTAGGGCTGCAGACATCTTTTTTCTTTTGTTTGTGATAAAGAGTACTTGGGTAATCTGTTCTTTGTAAATTCATAATAATAAGTAAAATTTTTTTATCTAGATATTCTTTGAGAATTTTGGTATCTTGATAATGAGCAATCTTTTCTCCTTGTTCTTTTTTTAAAATACTTTGAATAGTGCTGTAATTCTTTGGTTCCATAGTGAATTTAATGTAAATAGTTTCATGTTAATATTTTTATATAGACATAATTCTATATTAAACTTATTATAGTTTTTTGTAAAGGGGAAGAGAAAATTTATTCACTGTATAAAGTTTGCTAATGCTTCCAACATAAGATTGAGATGCTTTTGCACTTTAATACAAAGAGTGTTTTTTTCAAGGCCAGTCAGTGCCTTGTGCATCTGTGCAGTTTTAATTAAAATAAAGTTAAATTTCAGCCATAACAAAAGCTAAGATATAAGATAGTCTCTAAATTTATGTCTAAGCCATAGCTTTGCCCCACTAAAGCAAAACTGTCATCAGTCACCAGTTAATTTTTCAGCAACACCAGTCATTTTTAACTCACATAGTCAAATGTTCACTTGGTCTGGTTTATTGCAACATGCCCCTGGCAGCAGTATTAATATGGCCTAGGTATGTAATTGCCTGTATTTATTATTATATTGCCACTGCCTCATGTTCAGTCAGCAAATGCCATTTGGTCTCTACAATGCTCCAAGTACATTCCAATGCATGATGGATGATATTTTCAGTTCAGGAATGTAAAATCTGCATTCCTCAAACATATGGTTTATGATGTCATGGATATATTAATATTGCATCCAGAAAGACTGATTTTTACTTGCACATTCTTGTATGCTGATTACATGCAAGACCTGGTGTTTCATTTCTGTTTCTGTTTCTCTATACAGAACTACTACCATTGCAGCTACTACCCCTGGAGTTTAATATTGTCCATGATACTCTCCATGTAAAGATTTGTTTGTTGGGTTGCATTTTTTTGCTTTTCCTCTCTAGACATCTTTAATGTCATTGCCATATGGAATAAAATGTTTGCCCATGTAATGTTTTAACCACTTTAATGGCATCCTTTCTCAGGGAGTCTTGTTCATTGTTATCAAGGAAAGAGGCCAATGCACAGACATTCCTAACATTTGACTGACACATTTCCAAGTTCACTGTGTCAAAAGCCTTGATTACAAACTCCTCTTTATGCTATTTTCAGCTGAAAGTATATATCCAGTGAGTTTTTTTATCACCCTCTCCTTTTCAACACATCCCCTGCTCCTTTACTTTTTTCTCTAATAATATTAGAAGAATTGTGGGAATGTGCTTATTTTCAGAACCACTGTATATTAATATGGTAAATAGTTTATATTTAGAAGGCTTAGGTTGAAGTAGTTGAAGTTGTGGGTCCCTTTTAATTTGTGCACAATTGCATTTGCAACTAAACCAAATTTGGACAGACAAAGAGAGCACAGCATTTAGTATCACATCCTACGAAATACTTGCATTAGTTGTTCCTACATGATCTGAGCAAAAGTTGAATGCCATTCAGTTGGCTTGAAGTTGAATACTAAGAGAAGAGGAGTATACTTTAAATTTATGCATCTGATATAGATAGGCAAAATATGTATGGCATGTTGGCCAGGCAGACATGGTTGTATTGATTGACACACTATCCTTTGAATGATTTCCATTCAAATTTTGAAATCGCTTAATATCCGTAGCTATTTTGCATGTAAGTAGATGGATTAAACTGGGCTTTAGCGAGCACTTCGTTGTGAATAAAAGTTCCTCGCGATAACTTATTGTTGTACAAATTCACGTGATGTTTACCTACGCGAAAGTCGTTAACCCAAATCATACGATCATTCAACAGATTAGTGTTGTTGTCAATACAAATCACAAAAGACTGTTTGTCAATGGTAATAATAGTTAAGCTGCAAAAGATGTCTCAAACCGCTTGACCTTGGCGTAAAGTAAATTTAAAATAAGTATTCAATATTTTACTAATACATTACTTGTATCACGGCTTATTAAAGTTATTCAAAAGTTGACCCATTCCATTTGGCACAGAGTTGCTCGCGCTTATTAAAAACAGTAATATCACGATAGTGTTTAATCGAATAAAAAATCTAATCATGGTGCTCGCAATGAGAAGGTATTGTAAGGTAAAATTCCTGTTTCATAACAGCCCACATATACAATGAAAAAATGCCATATTTTTATGATACAATGTTTAGTCAACTATATAAAGAATATGCTGTGGAATTAATTTTATCTTCTCTCAGATTATATATAGCCAAACAATATAGGCATCCAATAAACCTTTACTGACAGAAAACCGTCGGGAAACAAAAACGCAAAACTCACTTCAACTCGCAATGATATTATTTCGAAAATGGGAATGGGTTCACGGATATCAAGCAAGCTTACAACAAACAACTGATACATTTATGAATATAACAGATAGTGTATAAAGGAGATAACTGATATGTCTATGCATTGATTAATGATCGCTGGCAATAGTTAAAACCAGTTTGGTAATGCAGATTATCAGAAACGCTTGCAGATGTATCGAATCTCACTTCCAAACCTGTACATCGAACAATCGCATTAGTATCAATGTTTGCTACGCAAGCTTGTCTTGGCTCGAAAAATTACTGCGGATATTAACAATGACAAAATAGTAAATTTTACAATGAAATAATCAATTGATAAAATCAACCAGCAACTATTGCCGCAGCACATCTCAACGAAGAATATGTTCAACTGATATAACACTATCCGCTATTGTTCACTGGAAACATAGAGTAGCTCCCAGTAACTAAAATTTTATTAGGCAAACTTAAAGAAACTGATAACTGACCAAAACTTACGGGAAAGCAAAGAAGAAGAAATTCTGTGCGCAATGGCAATGATTGGAAGTAGGCGTAGCATACCGAATTGCCTCAACGATCGAATGGCTTCGGTTTCATTGAATGGCTATTTTGTGTTTTTGTTTACGGGAAGTACTAAAAATGCAAATTGGTCTTGTTAAAAGTTCTTCACGCCATGAGAGAGCTGTTCCAATTTTTGTTATTCAATTTATTTTCATAATCCGTTCTTTGTTAACAATATACATAATATTATGCTTAGAGTGCATTTTGTTTCCTTTGGTGAAATTTACATAAACCGCATAACCCTAACCCTAACCCTAACCCTTACTCCATTCCAATACTTCCTATGTACAGTTGTCTAAATACAAATATTTAACAAGTGCGCTTTTCACACTTATTTTTTCTGCACACTCCAGATACAAAAGCTATATCTTTACATGTAATAGAAAAAAATTCTGCAAGCCTTATGTTACACAATCTGCACGAATGCAAAAACGGTTCCTTTCTTTTACAAACATCTTTTTGTCAATTTGTTCCGGGCCGGAATGCTCAATGGTTGCCGTCAATAGCCAAAAGACCCTGATTCGAAATTTAGATTCTTTTCAAGAACGTTCTCATGATACTCATCTCCTTTTATATCGGCAATTTTGTGTGTCCTGTCTTCATTAGTAGAACTACAGACCGCTCTTGTTATTGGCGATAGCATTAAACCGGAGCTCGGAGCATATTGATTAAATAGTGGTGGCGGTGGTAGATTGGATTGAGATGTAGGTTGGTGAGTGAACAAGGTGGATTGGATTTGGCAAGCAAATTGCGGAGAGGTAGTGGCGGAAGGAGGGTACTGAGGCATAACGGCGTCAGTATTTTGAGAGGAAGTCATATCACCTGAATAATCGAAAGGATGATAAAATCAAAAAGGTTAGATAAAATCAGACCATAATTTATTTTCTACAAATATGGCGCATTAAACCTACCACTTTGTTGTTGGTTCCATGTACAATACGAACACCGATAACCATTTATTTTATTATCAAACGCTGTTCCCATTCTGTTTTCCAGCATGTCAAACGTCGGCGAATATATTGAATTTGTCGGTTCGAAATAATTAGCATGGACAAAAGGTTGAGATAATGGTAACACTGACTCGGAAATTTGTAAAGCCGTGGGTTGCGCATGTGGAGCAGACGTTGGATTTTTCAAAACTGTCGAGTTGTTGGTCGTTGATTTTCGTACATCCATTGATGGTGTAGCAATAAAAGCCGGCTTCTTTCTCCTTCTTGCTTTGGTGGTTTTGGTGGTGGTAATTACAGTTGTCATATCATTAACTTGGAAACAGTTTTTCTGCGCATATAACTTTTCGGCCTCTAGAGAAATATCCTTGTATGCTTTTTTAACGTGTTCTGGCTCCTTCTCCCACGAATATGAAATCATGGACGACAAGTCGGTCATTGCCAAATGATAATTATTCTTCTTCAAATGTCTCACGTATTCGCTACGATACATGATAAATGCGTTTGGGAAGCGAACTAATTTTTTGCTTAACAATTTCGTCACAAAGGCAGCTGTATCGATTTGCGGAGGAAATGGCAGCGTGACAGGTGGAAGCGTAGGAGTAGTCTTTTTTATCGAAAGACGCATACATTGTTGCAATATTCCATTGCGGTTTATTATTCGGGTGGAGGGTTTTACGTCTTTCATTAGAGTTTTGAGAATTGGATTAACGTAATGACTTTTACGTCACGCGAATCTAACGAACAGGGTTCATCCTCTGCTTTTATATGTCGTTGTGAGTCATCCACATCATTGTATGGCCTAAATTGTAAGAAAGATCAGATTGGGGTGATAGGCAACGGGTTCACAAACTAAACTCGAGTGTTCGATTGTCTTGGCCATTGCATTTTGTGTCATGTCACTGCGCCGTTGATTACATACTCGCTTTGAATTCTAATCTTTTTACGCATTAAAAGAGCGAAAATGGTGATGGTACAACATGGTTTATCGCAGCTGATGAGATTACTATCTTGGTGAATAGAAAGCATTAAGAGTCGGAGATAAAATGTACATTTGAAATTGACCAATCACAATGGCCGACATAGCATCCGAAGAACCACTTTAAAAATATACAGTCAAAAAAAGAATCCAGTTTAATTATACGACTGTTCGTTATTACTGAATGTTTTTACCAGATAATTGGCTCAAAAAGAAAGAGGCTCTAATAAAGTTGATCTTCGTAAACGGAACTCCTTGCTGTGTATAAAACATTGTTTTTATAATATACACGACCAGTAAGTCACAACCAATTACTCATGATAACATTATAATTACGCAATCGATCACCTGCCGACTTTTTCTAGATTATCACTGGCGTAACAATGAGAATGTTTATGTCTTAACTGCTAAAATACGATGATGGTTATATATTTCCTCCCTGGGAAGAAAACCGGTTGAGCGCTTTTGTTGTATCATAAACAAGTTCGCCACAATAGAAATGTCGATTTTAGGTAAAAGGTATTATTTTTATGCAACTAATCCGAGGATCATAATGTAACAGGACTACAGGACCCGTAAACTCTAGCCCCAAACAAGTATGTTACACCGCATGCATTGTTCTTTTTTTTCCAACTTATTCACAAGAAAATGTATGAACACTTATCCACAATCCAAGGTTATTTTTAGCGCATTCGAGTCCATTGTGATGGGTTGTCAATGTCTCTACAAAAGCCAATATTATGACTGAAGTTGGTGTGACAACTATAAAAAGAAGGATTACACATATTACAGCTCAATTACAGCTACACCAAGCAAGCTTCAGTGACAAAAAAATGGTAAAAAAACTTCACGATCTACGCGGCAGATATCACATGTTGTTCATTGAGCCGAGTCAAGTTATCGAATGTTTCATGTTACAGTACTTCATGTACTTATCACATACGGAACAATAAAAGAAAATTTCATTGTACTTGTGTTTACATAATATTGACATGAATTATAAACTTGACGCAATTATTTGTTCGAATCGGGCAATTTAAATTAAAGTCATCAGAACACTGATACAGAATCCCTGCGCGTAAATATGCAGATAAACGACAAGATTAATATACAATAAAGCCTAATCAGACTGAGAACATTCTCCCGCACTCGCGAATACTAACTAATAAGGCTTGCTTTATATTGATGATGATGATGATGATGATGATGATGATGATGATGATGATGTTGTTGTTGTTGTTGTTGTTGTTGTTGTTGTTGGTGTCAATAGAACATTCTATTACTCTCTTTATTGTTTGTGCACTTATCAATCCGCCTATCTACATTGTCCTCTGACTTATCAACCAACAAAGTATCCTTTTACGTAGAGTAATTAAAAATTATTTGAGTCTCACTCATAACGGATACTTGTACATTTGTAACCGATAATTTATGTCTCTAGCTCTCATATATTCTTATCGTGTCTAATTTATAGACATTTCTTATCTGCAACTACAGTATTCCAGTATCCAATACAATTACTGTAATCTACTCGTATCATTAAGCCTTTTTATTTCGCACACTCTCCCTCTAATTACAACGTACATATGTATGATAACAAAACAGTATCAAATAGTTGTATCGAAAAGTGACAAGAGCAAGGCCTACGTTCGTATCAAATAATTTGTTGCTTGAGGAAAGGTTGGGAAAAATACCATTGAAAGACTACACATTACAATTTGTGATATAACAATTTTTAATAACTTGTCGACTTTATTAGTTCAACAGCGGACAGCCATATAAGTCTTTTTGCGAACCGGCTTGCAAGTACGTAATAACGTTAATAATTTCCTGATCTTTTACATGTCTTTAACCCGTTTGCAACGCCTAGCGCTTAGAAACGTTTCTGTTTCTCAAAGACTTTACTCTGCGACAAAGATTTGCTCTTCCGTTCTGATGTGTATTTAATCGTATGCGAGTACATGAGAGTTGTGAGAGCGATATTATAAACTAACTAATAACTACATTGCAAAACTTGTCGTCTTCAATCAGGTATGTGGTAACATTGTATACAACATATATTCGGGTTGGACGCATTTTTTGATGCTCAAATATATCGTATTCTAATATCCGGACCTACTATTCTGCTCTCTAATACCCGGAGGGAATACTGTACCGAGGGATACATTAGAGAAGAGAATAACTTTACTGACGATATAAAATATCTTCACGTCTTAGCTACAATAAAGCATAACTCGGAAGATCAAATGCTGTGTGGAATAAGAGAGATGTGAAGACAATCTAATCTCAGATTATACAAATAGTAATGATGTTAGAGAAGGTAAGCAAGTGATAGGATAGAAAGTGAAAATAATTCTTACATATCAGGAGGGTATACCAAGAGATATCATAAGTAATATTTACGTTTATTGAATTTATAGATTTATCTGGCATCTTGTTTATATAAGTCTGTCTACTATGGCACGCCGTAGTCTTACTGCTACTACACTAACGTGTACCCGGGGTACTGTCCACATCCATTCTGGAAGTACCCGGAGGGGGAGTACTAGAATCAGTACTGTACGATTACTACCATTCGTATACATCTTGGCAGGCGATCATGTTTGGAATACCAAAATATACTTTGTCAGCGCGCTATATTTCTTGGCAATTTCAAACAACGGAAAATATTTATATTACATAACCAACTGTCCGCTTTTATTCTGAAAATCTGTCAATCAATTCGAACATGTAATGTTAGATGGTCTACTTTTGTATAGCAATATCTTTCCTTTACTCTTTTTCTTCTACCTCTCATGCATTTATTCTCCTAAACCAATTCTGTGCTGACAAAGATAATTTGCTTCCAAGAGACAACGGACAAAATTGACGGAATACCATAAGACGAGGGGAATGTTTTGTTAATCATATATTGTACCCCCTGCACAAGTTTGGACGTAATTATTTGTTTGGAACGGTTTGGCCTGGTACTCGAGAAAGTAATAATTCATGATTATCGATGCAAAACGGCTAACGGTTAAAGTTCAAGCACTGAATTACTGTAAAGGGATAGTAAGTGATACAGTTACGATTCTTCGATTTCTTTTCTTAATTACTAAAGTTTTTAATCGTCTCTCTTATTTGAAGAAAATTGATTGTTATGCAAGGTTGTTATCAACGGGAGCCGTTCGTTTCCCCGACAATGACAATTTATTATTATTTCCCCGATCATTCCGACAATCATTTCCCCGACAGTTTATCTCCTCAATAATTATAGGCGTTTTGAGAAATAATCATTGTCGGGGAAATAAACTGGAAGTGATTGTCGGTGAAATGAACCGGACCCTGGTTATAGCGACTGCTAGCATAATAATAATTAATTCTTGGTCTAATTAACAACGTTATGCATAGTATCAGCTTATCGGACAAAGCTTTTCAAAGTAAGATAGACGGTAATATATTGATCTAATATACAGTGCCGAATTGTATATTAATTAACGCGGTTTTTACTTACACGTTTGTCATGCAATCAATAAAGTGTGATTTATCCGTCATTTTCTCAATCGATAACTATATAAGGATCGTATCCTTGACTTTTTGTTCACCGTATGCGTGAGACTTATCCCCGCCGTTTGAAATTGCTTACCGATTTTGATTGAGAGAATTTATTACAAAAGTCTTGTAATACAACATGTGCAGTTTTACAATATTAATATGAATCCGGATTTATACGTGATGGTACGTATGAAATATACTTACCGTGGTAAAGGTAGCTTGGCTAGTGCGAGCAGGACCATCAATAATAATTGAGCCATATATTACTGTAAGGTCAAATTTCTTTTACGAATTAAAAACTTTTAGTTTACGGTAATCGTGAATTGTATTGTATTTGAAATAAATTTTATAATCACGTGTCGTTATTGTTATGCTGGTAATAGTGGTAATCACGGTAAGTTATTAGATAATACTGTTTTATTGATTATTGGTGGATAGCAAATGGTTAACAAAAACTGCCGTGCTTGTAGGAAAGTGTCAATGCCATAATTATTATCATTTACATTAGGGTTAACGGTTTCAGTATTTAGGCTAACAGGTAATACATTGACAACATTATCACGCACGGCATGATTTGGAACAGGACCATCTAAGTCTATACCATAGCTATTATCATTTCGAAAGGTATTATCAACAATGTCTCTACAATGTCTCCAATTATTACGAATCATACCTTCCTGCCATACTTGAGATGGTGAACGTCCACTTTCATCGATCAATCCGTAAAACCTGGCAATACGTCCCCGCCGGAAACATTCCTCATTCAGGGTCCGATTTATATGTGGGTGATAAGTGTAATGAAGACAATATAGATGACGTTCATTTTCGACATTAAAAACATAATACTCTTCCAAATGTCTGAATATCAACAAATACAATCTTCCGACAACGCGATTTAAATCCTTTCGATTCTTTGATTGTGTACTGATGGGCTACATATGTGACTGCCGCGATCGATTCCTCATGTTTGTAACATATACCTTTCTATCTCTACGTTTTCCACTCCCCGATCGCTTCTTGTTCGTGATGGACTCTGCCACTTGTCACAAGCAGCCAAAAAGTATCTTAAGACTGTTGCAGCAGGGAAATTAGCGGGCAAAGGCTGCAAAGATGTGTTTGTCCCAATGGCTATTTCTTTTATCGTGGTGCCAAGACTCTCTTCGAAGATATTTCGCAATCCAAGCCTGAAACATGATATTGTCTTCGGGGAATTAGTGGGTATTACGCCATTTGGATCTACATGATGAAGGCTTTCGCGGACTCGGCAAATAGCCGAGCATCCAATTTTGCGTTCACAATACTTACTTAAATGTGTTTCATACATAGCAGTCTTGCATGGTTGAAAAAATGGGGCCCGATGTACTCTATCATTGTTAGAAATCCAATCTTTCTACGTGCAATTGCAAAGCATCACCGACCGTCATCTAATTCTTGCAATGTTCTATTTGCAGCATTTACAATCGCTCTCTTGCCTTTCAATCATACTTTCAGTCTCTCACTTGCTCACCACTCTAATACCCACTCTTTTGCTCACCTCTCTCTTTATCGTGATCACACTCTTTGCTATTTCACAATTACTTTCTCACTCTCTCACTCTTGATTTCTCATTCTGGCTATATTTCTTTCTTACACTCTCTTGTTCTCTCTATCTCTCATACATAAATTCTCACCTGTCACCTCACAGTCACTCTTGTTACTAGAAGCTACCCGCAATCACTCGTAATGGTTCTGTAATCTCGTACTAACCCTTTTCCAAAGAGGCTAAAACTTCGCATTTACGTTTCTGCGAACTAGATTAGTGTCGCTGTGTCTTGTCTATGGTAGAAAGCTTGTATTGCATTTCTCAAATAAAAGATTCACTGAATAGTCATAAATGTAAATTTGTACTACGAAACGATTGGAGGAATTAATACCATGGCTCCCGATATAAGAAAGTATTTTTGCTGGACCCAATTAAAATCTTATAACAAATAACTCTTGCTATAAGAGATGTTCAATATAATAAAGGAATTTGTTGGGGCCCCGATCACTTTCGTATTGTATTTTAAATAAGTACAGATTTTCTGTATTTTTAATACAGACTTGATGCTCTGGCGCACCATAGTTAATTTAGAACTGACACAGCGATCATTTTCGTGTTAGCATGTTAGCCTTTTGGTTTGTAATAAAGGCTATTGGAGTCTTCTTGTCTTATAAAAATATTGTTTCAAGTCTTTGTCTTACCATTGTTGACTTGCTTTGTTTGAATGTATCATAGAAAATATTGTAAGGCACACACCCAAATAAATTTCTCTGAAAGCGTTGGAGTTGTTGTAATGAAGGGGTAGCGCATATATCTGATTGCCGTTCTATCAAACACGTGTGCGGAATGATCTCATACATAATCCGTCAAGAATAGCGAATAATCGCAATTAAGCGTGGGGGATCCCTTATTTTGATATGACCAACGAGATAGAAGCTACAAGTGGCTCGCGATATAAGAAAGTGATCGGGACCCATAATAAAAGATCTTTGAATCTTTCTTATACCGAGAGTTTATTAGTAACTTTCTTATATAGAGATGGTTTCATATATCGAGAGCTTCTTATATCGAGTTTCACTTGTATTACCCTTTCCGAAACGGAAATCAATACAATTTACATATTTACCTCGTTTTGTAATACTAATGCAAACATCAACGGTTCACTTGATTCTGTAAACGACAGAGATACACAATTTATTTCCATACTGACGACAAGTCTTATTGTTCGCTGTTTGCCGGCCGAACTTGGGGTAAAGCTGGTGCTACATACCTCGGACAGTTATCATCAATCCCAAAATTATTGAAGTTTGAGAACAAGCTTGAAGGCTATTTAACTAAAAGCTGGACTACCAACTCCTTAATAATCAGTAAAGAGAAAATTGGTCTAATCGACATTGAAAGAAAGAATTAGTCTACAAAAAAGTCACAAGTAGGGTCCCGAGTTTGATATTTTCCGGTACGGCCCACAATCTGATTGTATTCAAATATTCATTACCAATAATCGATCAAAGCAAGGTATTGGTTTCAACATGATGAAACCCTTGCCAATTGTGTTAAACATAAGAACCTAACTTTATCTAGCTGGCCAATCCAATCAGACGCATTAAAAAAGAAACTTTAAAACCGAATTTCTAACGACATCTAATTGAAAGCATGCTTTGAAGAATTGAAGCTTGTGTTGCAAATAAGGACTTGCCAACAACCCATGACTAACTCGTATGTATCGATGAGAATTGTTTTGTCTGTTTGGAATAATTAATAAGTCAAGACTCTTTTGTACGAGGTAAGTTTATATTAATCACAACTCCTAAATTCGACATAAGCATTACCGTACAAGGAGGTGTAGTAACGGTAACACGAATTCAAGGGCAAATGTAACACAACTGTCATTAATAATATTATTACTATTACGCACAAACTGGATAGGTTACGAAGAAAATTGGCCAAGAAAAAGGGCAAATACCAAAATAGCAAATGCGTAACAAGGCAGACGGAACAAATACTTATTGAATACCAAAGGAGCATACTAATATTACATTACAGCGTTACATGGCCTATCTTACAAGGAACGTATAAAAAATCAACCGTTATAGCGATGATAATAATAAAGTAGTAGCAATGTGCCAATACTAAATAGATGTATAATTCCCCTACCCGAAATGCTCGAATAGTTAAGAACGGGTCACAAGTCCTAAAATATAGCACGTAGCGTTTCAATGTCACAACCCCCCGACTTTTATGGCGTACGACTCTTGTTTGTAATTGAATCGTGTCCAAGAGATGTTGTCGTCGACCTCTGAGTTAATGTTTTTGTCAACTTGTGACTCTCGTCGCATGCTACCGGCTTTCCGTAAGATCTAAAAGTATAATGATGACTTGGTCGGTCGTCATTTCAACCCAAGCCAAATATACCGATTGCTGCAGCAAACACTAATAACATCAAATATTAATATTAATAAAGATATACTTGGCAGCTTTCATAGATTTCATCAGCGAAACGATTACAATAGGCCTCGCTTCAAGTTAGTCATTAATCATGTATTCAATGGCCGTTATATTTTTTAGGATTGAAGATCCACTTTGTCGGCAGCGATAAGGTCGGCCGTATATGCCTATCAATGATAATCGGGGAATTACCTTGCAGGTCACACAACCTGCCAGACCAGGTCGTACAGGCTCCTTTCATTGGACGTTCAGATGCACTGGCAGGTAAATTCCTGATAATCCTATCATGTTGATCACTTTATATTAAATAATATATAATGATTTCCTGATAGGAACCATAAACGTCTGTATAACGTCGGATTCGGTTAATAGCTAATTTCTATTAGAAGAAAAGAAAGTAAATACAGAACGCATGCATACATATTCTCCCATTCTTTCTTTTCTTCTTATCTTACCTTACCTCCATATTTTCCCTTCAATCCATTCCTTCTCTTCGGCTGGTCTCTAGAGGACCCCAACTCTTCCCCCACCTTCCTCCATCTCGCTAACCAAACAACGCTTACCATAACCACTATATGGTTGGTACCTCCGATAGAGACAAGCCCGAATACACACATACCAAGTCCTGCCTAGAAAAAATCAAATCTTAAATGCCTTGACAAGTCAACGGCAAGAAAGAATTAGCATCATTAATTCCCTGACTCGCTCCTTTTAAATTTATCTTATTACTCTTTTACTCGTTCTTTTAATTCCAGTATTGTAAATATATATAGATTTCGAATAAAATTCTTTGAGAGAATCCTGACATCATTGATTAATTCATACTATCATCAAAGAACCAAAACAAAAAATGGCATATAACAACAACTGGTCAAACCAGCATCAGCAACGCCAACACCAGCAACAAAATGGCAGGAACCTTCCCCAATTACATTTAGACATTAATAACGGAATACAACAACCTCAACAGTTATACCAACAACAATATCGAACCCGACAAGAATCGCCCCAGCAGAGTTATGCGCAACAGGAAAATTATCCTCCATACGGTGCACGCATACCCACTCCGGCCACTCCTCAACCACAGCAATACTTGACATCGCCTTCCCCAACAATAGCACAACCTCAAATGGCACATTCTCAAGTAGACAATCGTCAAGCCGCAAGTCACGTACACGCTATATCCAATTACTATGAAGAAGACGAAGACGAAGAAGACGAGGAAGTATCACTTGGATATGTATCTAATAATAGTCGGTTCCAGGGTGTTGATGACGCTATATATCCTGCCGACAAACATGGTAGAGATCCAATTTTTATTTTTACTTTTTTTGTCTAGACATCAATAATAGTGTTGCTTACAATTTCTTTTATGGGTTAGATCAATCATCACGTCGACCAGTGTCGTCATACTATGGCCTATCCCTTACAAAGGACAAGCAGAGAGCCGAGTTTGATGAATTCTCGGTAGCAGGACCATATGAACCAGAAGAAGAAGAAGAATGCCGTGACATTCCCACAGCTGTGCCGTCCAGGGCCTTATATGCAAATCCGCCACAACAACCTACTGCATCACATCACATCATCAATAGTGCCGATCCATACAGCGGAGAAAATTCAAATTCACATCCCAGCACATATGGCCCACATCGACCAACACCCCAACGGCAAACCAATCAACCTTACCCTGCTTGGAGCTCGGATGATCATCGAGTCCCAGTATCAAAGGAAGAAATAGAGGACAGTTTCATCGACCTAAAGAACAAGTTTGGATTCCAGGAAGACAGCATGAGAAATATGTACGATCACCTGATGTGTATGCTAGACTCTCGTGCGAGTCGAATGACACCAGCTCAGGCACTCATCACTCTCCATGCCGACTTTATTGGAGGAGAAAATGCTAATTATCGCAAGTGGTATTTCGCTGCTTATTTCGATTTTGATGATGCGCGAGCTAATGCTGCTAGCAAAGGAACCCCTATGCCAGCACAACCGGACAATCTCGAATCCGCCGAAGATAAATGGAGACAACGTATGGCATCAATGTCACAACACGATCGAGTGCGGCAATTAGCTTTATATCTTTTACTATGGGGTGAAGCTTCTCAGATTAGATTCGTACCGGAATGTCTGTGTTTCCTCTTTAAATTAGCCGATGACTATTACAGATCGCCGGAATGTAAGCAAAAAGTACAACCATTACCGAAAGGCGAATATCTCCGTACCGTCGTGACTCCATTATACAAATATATTAGAGATCAAGGATACGAAGTCATCGGAGGCAAGTACGTTAAGCGAGAAAAAGACCATGCTGACACCATTGGATATGACGACATTAATCAACTGTTCTGGCGTCCCGAGTTTATCGCTAGAATCTCAATAACTACCGGAGGAACGAGCATAATGACTCTACCCCCAGCGCAAAGATATATGCATTTGAAAGATGTCAACTGGAACAACGTATTCGTAAAGACGTACGAAGAAAAACGTACATGGCTACATGCGATCGTCAACTTTACTCGCATATGGATCATTCACGTAGTATCCTACTGGTACTATACTGCTTATAACGCGCCATTCCTGTATATGGATCCTACAAAAGGAGGGCGAGCTGTACAATTTTCAGTTGCAGCCTTGGGTGGTGCAGTAGCAACACTGTTTATGATTGCTGGCTGCGTATGCGAGTTTATGTTTATTCAGCTCACCGAGTCCAACATATATATGCTTGGTCGTCGACTGCTGTTCTTGTTCGTTGTGCTCGCGATAAACGCTGGTCCTACTTACTATGTCGTCTTCATGAATAAAACTGGTCAAACCGCACTATTTGTTGCCCTTGGTCAGCTCTTCTTCTCCGTGGTTACAACCCTTTACTTTTCCATCGTTCCAAGTGCAAAATTGCTCGGTGGTTCCTCTAAATCATCAAGAAAAGGTCTTGCTGCTCGTACGTTCACTGCCAACTATCCAAAGCTGCCTAAAACCGAGAGAGCGCTTTCAATCGCGTTGTGGGTTTGTGTGTTTTCTTGCAAGCTGGTCGAGTCGTATTTCTTCTTGTCTCTTTCGTTCAAGGATCCCTTGAAAGAAATGCACGACATGGTCGTAGCCAACTGCGGAGATTCTTTGATCGGGAACAGGCTTTGTACTCAAATGCCTCGTATGGCAATTGTTATCATGTTCTTTATGGATCTAGTGCTATTCTTTTTGGATACCTACTTGTGGTACATTATCTGGGGTACCATCTTCTCGGTATGCAGAGCATTTTACCTGGGAATTTCTATTTGGACACCATGGAAGTACGTCTTTTCAGAACTTCCAAAACGTATCTACGTCTCACTTTTATGCACCGAGAATACGCAGCCAAAATACAAACCAAAAGCCTTGATATCGCAAATATGGAATGCTATTGTTATCTCCATGTATCGGGAGCACTTGTTATCGTTAGAAAATGTGAAAAAGCTTCTCTACACACCAGAACGGTCAAACAGGACTGGTGAACAAACACTTCAGCCACCAGAATTCTTTACCAAGCCCGGCGAATCGAAATCAAAATACTTTCCCAAGTTTAGCGAAGCAGAAAGACGTTTCTCGTTTTTCGGCCAAAGTTTATCAATCACTATGCCAGATTCTATTCCAGTCCAGAAAATGCCAACTTTCACTGTCCTAGTGCCTCACTATTCCGAAAAGATTCTTCTCTCTCTCAAAGAAATTATTGGAACAGAGGATCAGAGCACCCGGGTTACGTTACTCGAATATCTCAAACAGCAGCATCCTATAGAATGGGACAATTTCGTTAGGGACACGAAAGCACTTGCTGAAGATAAATCACTCTATAAACCAACTGCAGTCGGGAATCGATTCAAAAACGTCGACAAAGAAGATGATCTTGCCTTTTACTCCGTAGGGTTCAAATCATCAGCACCGGAATTTACCCTACGAACACGTATCTGGGCATCACTCCGTGCTCAAACATTGTACCGCACAATTAGTGGATTCATGAATTATTCAAAAGCCATTAAATTGTTATATCGCGTCGAGAACCCTGAAATTGTTGCTAAATACGCCCGAGATCCTCGCAAACTGGAGCAAGAAATTGCTAATATGGCATCTAGAAAGTTCAAATTTGTAATCACCATGCAAAGATACTGCAAGTTCAACGCACAGGAACAAGAAAATGCCGATTTCTTACTGCACGCTTATCCAGATTTGCAAATTGCTTACCTCGACGAAGTGCCACCTGAACGTGAAGGCGAAGAGGCAAAGATATTCTCGGTTTTGATTGATGGTTATTGCAAAAAGGATGCGAATGGCAAACGTATACCTAAATATCGTATCCAATTACCTGGCAATCCTATCCTCGGGGATGGCAAATCTGACAATCAGAACCATGCAATCATCTTTTATCGTGGAGAATTTCTTCAGCTAGTGGATGCTAATCAAGACAATTACCTTGAGGAATGTCTCAAAATTAGAAACGTGCTAGGCGAATTCGAAGTTTATGGCCCACCACCTTCGGCGCCCTACTCTCGAGGCGATTCGAATTCTTATCCTGTAGCAATTGTTGGTGCACGCGAATATATCTTTTCAGAGAACTATGGTGTACTCGGTGATGTGGCTGCAGGAAAGGAACAGACATTTGGAACGCTTACGGCGCGTTTGATGGCTTTGATCGGTGCCAAACTGCATTACGGGCATCCCGACTTTCTAAATGCTATATTTATGACTACACGTGGTGGTGTTTCGAAAGCTCAGAAAGGATTGCATCTAAATGAGGATATTTATGCCGGTATGAATGCATTTTGTCGCGGTGGTCGCATTAAACACTCTGAATACTATCAATGCGGTAAAGGACGTGATCTTGGTTTTGGCTCCATTCTACACTTTACAACAAAGATTGGGACTGGTATGGGCGAACAGATGCTGTCGAGAGAATACTATTATTTGGGTACTCAATTGCCGCTGGACCGATTCCTGACGTTTTATTATGCCCATCCGGGTTTTCATCTGAACAACATCTTCATTATGTTGTCCGTCACACTCTTCATGTTGGGTCTGATGTTTATTGGTGCTCTAGCTTCCGTGTTGACCTTGTGTGAAACTGCTCCGGATCCGAACGGCCCTATCCCGAATTGCTACAACTTTATTCCAGTATTGGAATGGATAAAGCGATCTATTCTTTCCATATTTCTTGTGTTCTTTATCGCCTTCTTACCTCTTTTCTTCCAAGAACTGACGGAGAAAGGGTTTATCCGCAGTAGCACGCGCTTGGGCAAACATTTCATGTCCTTGTCACCGTTTTTCGAAGTGTTTGCAACGCAAATATATGCTCACGCAGTTGTTACCAATCTGACGTTTGGGGGCGCTCGTTACATTGCGACCGGTCGTGGTTTTGCAACAGCACGGATTCCTTTTTCGATATTATACTCACGATTTGCTGGACCTAGTATCTACCTCGGCATGCGCTTGTTGCTTCTCCTTCTCTTCATCAGTTTGACGATATGGGTACCTCATTTGGCATATTTCTGGGTGTCTGTCGTGGCTCTATGCATATCCCCATTCTTGTTCAATCCGCATCAGTTTTCTTTGGCAGAATTCATCATCGATTACCGAGAATTCCTCAGGTGGATGTCGCGTGGTAACTCCAAGTCGCATAAAAACTCTTGGATTGATTACTGCCGTGTCTCAAGGACAATGATCACCGGTTATAAGCGCAAGAGATTAGGACATCCGTCGGAAAAAAGTGTGGCAGACGTTCCTCGGCCATCATTTGCAGTTCTTTTTGCGTCTGAATTGTTCACTCCCTTCGTCACAGCCATTTTATGTACCATTGCATATACCTTTGTCAAGAGTTTTGATCCTAAAACCAAAAATACACCAAACACTGGCTCTAGTGCTCTCATCCGGGTTGGCGTCATTGCTATTGGACCAATAATGATGAACGCTGCAATGTTGGTTGGATTGTTCATAATCTCAATTTGCATGAAACCAATGTTCAGTGGTGAATCAAGTCGCTTTGGATCAGCGATGGCTTTTATCGCGCACGGTTGGGCTGTTATCAATTTGATTGGTGCGTTCGAGTTACTTTGGTACATCGAATCTTGGTCAGTGAGCAATGCCCTCGTTGGCATAATAGCCGCTATGGCTATTCAACGTTTTACTTTTAAATTCCTGGTTATTGTATTCTTGTCGCGTGAGTTTAAACATGACGAGATTAATCTTGCATGGTGGACTGGTAGATGGGATGTTGCCGGCAATCCAGTTTTGCAGGCTGTGCGCGAATTGATTTGTAAGATTGTGGAAATGTCTCTGTTTGCAGCCGATTTCATCCTTGGCCATATTCTCTTGTTTATATTGGCACTGTTCTGTCTTATTCCATTTTTCGATAAGATTCATTCTATGATGCTCTTCTGGTTACGACCAAGTAAACAGATTAGAAAACCAATTTTATCCGCTAGCGTCCGTGCTGCAAGACGGAAAATAGTTTTCATGTACGGACTTTTGTTTCTTTGTATGGCGGCAATTTTTGCTGGATTGGTTGCCGGTCCAATATACGTGGGATCGATGCTAACTCTTCCTTTTGATCTGGGTATTTAGTGTAATTAGGGTCGCTGGGTTTACAGTTTAACTTATTTGTACAACTTGTAATTTTTATTTTCGTATTTATTTCTACTAGAATTAATAAAAAGGGAACTGGGACACTTTGTTGCAAGTCTTTGTTTATTATTTAAGTGCAATATACATTTCTTGTTACTATTACATTATCATCACGATTCATCGAGTTTTAAGTTGACCAACATCCTATGGAAAAACGAACCTGAAATGTCTTTCAATTTTATTATTAAGACTGCTTATTACTGTCTAATTCGTATTATAAATCGTAATTGCAAGCGACGTTTACCAAAAACTCGCATTGTTCTCCTCCTCACTAGAGAGAGCAACAAATGGTAGATTCTGCAAGTCGTATTTATTATACGATCCGTTTTTCTTGTGCCGTTTGTTGTTTCTCGGAGTCGACGTCGAACCTACCAAATCAAGGAAATCAAAATCTCTGCCAGATGAACGTCTACCTCTGAAGCTAGAATAATTATTAGACAATCGGTTATCAACTTCTCGAATTTCTTTGATGAAGGAACGTTTGATAATTTCTTCTTTCGTTCGTAAGGCGGTTTCCGAAAACTCGTCTGTAAAATCTTCATCCTGAGAAACTCCTAGAGCCTTTTGCAATGCTCCATTCGAGTAAGCCTCATGTAACCGTTCCCTCGAAGATCTTATCTCAGCCGGAACGTGTAATATTGATTTCAATATAGATAGTGGGAAATCATCATCCGAGACTCCCTTGCTTTTTTCATCAAAGTATGTGCTCTGTACGTTTGCCACCTTTTCAGTCAAGTCAATATATGCCAAACCAAATTCTTTCTTGATGTCATACCAGTTTCTTGTTGCTCTCGCAACATCGTTGTCTGGTTTGGCAGGATCTTCTAGACAGATTTGGGCGAAATTTAACGATGTCCATTGACAATCTCTCTACATGTACAAAGAAAAATCAGTGCAACAACCAAAATCTTTGCAAAAGCTTGTCACCTAAACTTGATTCACCTTTTGATAATATTTGCCACCATCTCGTATGCTAACCACAAGATCTCGGTAATTAAACTGGTTTCCGTAGAACTCGAAGAATTCTATGAGGAGCACTCCAAGATTTTTTTCTGGTTTTATGTAACCCTTTTGAATCAATGGATGTAACTAAAAGGCGAAAACATGTTATATAATAGTGTGCAAATACCTATAACAATAACAAAAATTTGATACTTACTTGTAGGAAATGCAGGACCATTATTACTATACTATAACTGCCAAGCCCCCCAAAGGCAGCATCGTGGAGATTCTTCAACATCAGGAAATGTTTGATTACAATCGTGAGCTCCTTAAGGGCAGGAACTGTATTTAAATATTCCTTGACCACTCGAGCTGATTCCAACCCGGAAATGTTATTGAACGAAATATCCATAGATATGCCAGAATATCGTTCCTGACATTTAATAATAGGAACCTGAAGTAAAGAACACAATAAACATTCGTTAATTATTAAGACAGAATCAAGGAAACAACAATTAAGAAGGAATAAATGTTATTTACAGCGCCACGTATCGGTCAAAGAATCTTCACAGTACCTTTGCACGGGCGATCGATTGGGGAGGTCCCTGACACATATCTTCATTCTTGAGTTTTCTAGACAGTCTATTCAAGGTTGGATCTGGCTTGTAAGCGTCGTACGAGGAACAGAAACACACTAGATCAATGTCACTATCAAGACAATTAACGTTGTTAGTCTGTATAGCCTTGAATTCCAGTTCTACCAATTCCCCCATTAATTTACCTAGTTGGAAGGTATAACTTTGTATCAAAACTGCCAAATGCATAAACCATCGACTCCCCCCATAACTCTTCACAGACATTCTCTATTCTCTTGATAATAAATTTTCGCATTCGCTTCTCTTCGACGGTTGGCATTATATAGTCCACAAAGGCCCGTAATTCTTGGTTTAAGCTAATTGAACAGAACGAACTATTAGTTCTTCCAGTCAGCAGTAACAAGCCAATAATAATATCACTTACAGTTCCGTCGCATGATCAAACTGACTTAGATCATAATTCTTGGGTACCCATGGATAGTCTTCGTCGGTAAGCACAGTGATAACCTCTAATTCAGCACGTTTTCGTTTTCTGCTGTTCGTATTTACTTGTGAGTTTTTACTATCATCAAAGGGAATAAACCCATCATTATCCTTGAAGAGATCTTGCGTATTCTTCATCGATATCTGAGAATGGGTGTTTTTTTTCAGCACAGATCAAGTCGCTGTTTTCCTTTTTGAAAGACAAACCCTTTGTTGGTGCTGTGTAACACGAACAGTCCATTCATGTGAGCCGTCCGAAATAAATTAATAATGTTCAAGTCACGGGATACTTCAACTTTTATTCCACCACACCCAAGATCAATGACGATACACACAGAATCCGTTTCAACGACTTTGGAGAGTCTTAGATCAAATCCTGAAGTATATCAAAATTTAGAGACTCTTCTAACAAATGTGAATGGCAATGTACCTCTTCACAAGCGCTTCCGGGCTTTGTTTACCTTGAAAAATCTTTGTGACGAGAAAAGTGTTGACATTATTGCCAAAGGTATGGGAATGGGCTAGAAAGAAATGATCTGTTTTGAGTATTTCTTCTCATTAATTGTTTTGAGCACAGCATTTACGGATGATTCTGCACTTCTTAAACATGAATTGGCTTACGTACTTGGTCAAATGAAGAATTCATACGCTAATGATATTCTTCGGAGTGTTTTGTCCGATAAATCACAGGATCCCATGGTTCGACACGAGGTTTGTAGAAGCATTACTTTATCAAGGAATATGTAACTCGAAAATTTGACGCTAATATTTAAAATGTGTAGGCTGCTGAAGCTCTTGGTGCAATCGGTGATCTATCATCACTAGATATTTTGGAAGAGTACCTTGATGACGAGAATCCCGTTATACGCGAGACATGTGAACTAGCCATTGCACGGATAAATCACGAAAATCATCCCGACAAGAGAGGAAAACCCTCTTCCAATGTCACTGTATATACATCAATCGATCCTGCTCCGCCGAATACCGACATTCAGTCGGTTTCCAGGTTGCAGGAAATATTACTCGACACAAGATTACCCCTCTTTGAACGTTATCGATCGATGTTTGCATTGCGTAATATAGGTACCAAAGAAGCCGTGCTAGCATTAAGCGAAGTGCTATTACATGACCCGTCGGCTTTGTTTAGACATGAAGTTGCTTACGTTTTTGGTCAAATGCAGAGTCCAGACAGTGTTCCGGCACTACTTAGCGCTCTAGAAAATAAAAATGAATTGTATATGGTACGTCATGAAGCAGCAGAAGCATTAGGATCAATTGCGACTTCAGAATGTCTGCCGATACTTCGGAAATTTCGAGACGACGATGAGAGAGTTGTCAAAGAAAGTTGTGAAGTAGCTTTAGACATGTACGAGTACGAAAATTCAAATGAATTCCAATACGCTGATGGGGCGCTTGGATATCGTTAACATAAAATAAAATATCATATATTTATGCATACTATTACTCATCCTTTTGATACATGAGAATCCAATGTCATTTTAGTAAAGCCCACACTCGTTGCTGCGTCGTAAACCGTACCAAACAAACCGGTTCAGAAGAAAGAAAATGCCACAAATCTGAATCCAGCATGTTTAATACAATAGTATTTAACATTAATAACAGGAAAAAACTTATTTAACAGTACCAGGTGATTAACTGAATTAAACTTTTGAGTAAATAAATACTCATCAACAATAAACCAAAAGCTATTAGACTAACTTTTCATTTTGCGTGTCGCTGCATTGACATCCGCCCCATATAACTCGATCTATTGCACCCCTCGCATCGTTCAAGTCGTTGCATTGTTGTTCATTTATTACTTTTGCTGTTTTCTCGTCATCCTGGACAGCATGTCAACGTTTGAAGGATTCGTTGATATTGTAAAAATAAAGCAACAGGAGTTATCAATAAGTTTCCAATTTGCTCAAACATGTGATTACGCGTAACTATAAACACCATCAACTTTTTGGGCCCGTGCGACCGACGTGAAGCTTTTCCCCTCCCTGCGCGTATCAGCGAATACTTTGAAAACTTGGCCAGTTGTTCGCTAACGGGGGCAAGCGGTTCTACGAAAAAATCTATAGCTCACAGCAAATACAAATATGCTCTTCATAATATTGTTACAGAAGGGAGCTAGTGTAAATACTGTTTTGGTTTCTTTTGGCCGTGCAGCCGGATGGCATGACCCGGTCATAAAACTTTACAAAAAAAGGCAGTTGAGGAAGTAAAAGATTATTGAAATAACACTCTTGCTGGTACCGCCGCCGCCAAAACCACTACAAAAAAAGGGTTCAAGCAAAAAGGAGGTCCTCAGCTCCCCAACCTACGAACAACTCGTCAGCCTCCCAACCTACAAACTTAAGACCTACTTCCTTTCTTAATTCATTGCCTTTACTCTTCCATCGCCTGTTGCAACACCACAGACATGTTCTTCCGGCAAGAAAAGAGCAGCACTTAACATCAACTGCAATGCTTCGCGGTTTGGTAAAACCAAAAATGCTGGGCTCCTTCCAGGAAGATCGCCAAGGCCGTTTTTCTTTTCTAATTTCACTGTGCGGCGGTCTAATCAAAATACACGATGGATACACAGCAAGAAAGGAAAAACATCAAGACTGTGCTTAAAAAGAAACAAAACTAATATGAATATCTTTTACAACGACAAATGCTGGGCTCCTTTCCCGCAGTCGAAACAAAACCCGCAGTACTTTAACTTTAGTATTGTCACTAGAATTTCGTGGCAGTACAGGATACAAACAATAGCTAATTTAGCGTTCCATATTTTGACCGTTCCAATTTTCGGTGGCGGACATTAAGCAGTGCTTCTCCCATCAAAAACAGTCACTTATAAATTTAGTTCAGTCATAATTCGACAATCGCTATTAGTAAATTGGTAACATCCCCTGTCGGTGAACACACCTACCTAATTTATTATTGGCTCTCCCACCCTAATAATACACCGACCGCAACAGTACCTCACCAGTCTGAAGGATTTGGAAAACGATAATTTCTTCAGGACCGACTGTTAATCCGTGAAGGATATACTAAATTACATCGTGTTGAGGGAGCCACAGATTATATCGAATGGAAACTTCAGGAAATCCGCAAATGGAGTCGACGATATTCTTGAACTTACAGAAAAAGGACAAAATAAGTGGACAATATTTGCATGGGGTGCGGCAAGTCAAGATGAAGTTGAAGAGTTCATCGATGATACTATGTGGCGGGCTTTATTGTCCCCAAATCTCGATGCAACAAAAAGGATAGAAATTCTAACAAATGTATTGTGCATATGATGTCAACATTTGTGTGAATTACAACTTACCAAACAATTTAAAGAATGGCAATGATATGCATCGATGTTCAGTTAGAATTTATTTATTCCCGTTTATGTTATCTAAACACAAGCCATGTGCTTTGCATAGTTTTTTCGTTGGTTTTTGATTCGGAGCTTGTCACATTGTTAAAAAAGAGACTTCTATGTATGTAAAAGTCATTATGCTATTTAATAGAAACAAAGAGCAGGTTTTTGTGATCAAAACAAAACAAGTTTATGTGATTTGGTTTATAATTTCTTTACACACTGTAAATCTAGGATTTATATGGTAACACAATATGTATAAAACAAAACTTTGGTGAATCCAAAGTAATGATAAAGCTGTGGATCTATGTAGTGAACTATACAGATTGCACTTGTATAATTGTATATTAATCAATTTCATCAACTACGCCGCGCCGTTATTACAGAAACATATTTAACTTATCAGTATTTTCTTCAAACTATAATCAATTCGCTTTAAACGATACAAAAGGTTTGTTATTTTGCGTAGTAGATATGGTCCAATAGAAATTAGATTTTTCATGTTTTACTAGTTGATCATTGGAATCTACCAATACCATTTCAGGGGAGTGTACTTATAAGAGGTTTTTATACTGTATGATGTGTTGGCAATTGAACACGAGATCAAACAAGGTTGGCAATACCTACTTCGTTAAACCCATGTTGACCTTAATTTGGTTTCTATACTCACGACTCTCATGTCTTGTGTACGCAGACACTCGATTACTGCAGTGATTGGCGCTCTACTCTTATCGATGGGACTAAATTGATAATCTGTAGGTATCATCGGGGAATGTTTATATCAAAGTAAACGCATTTATGGACAATTCGCGCATTTTTGCCAACTCGGAATTCGATGGATAAGATCGAATTTCCGTTTAGTAGCGGGAATCTGCAGTTTGCACGCGCGCTACTAAGGCGATAATAGATGAGTACGAAAAGCTATTCTAATTAATACAACTGATCGAACTGAAAGATTGTGGATATATCAATGATCTGATTGATCTGTCGATACGATACTTGGTCGATTTTTCGATTTACCGATGTGAAACTACGACTGCTTCTATTTTCACACACTATTTCTAAATTAGGACTATTGAATTGAATTTCGCAAAACTATTGTAATTTCTAAGACTATTTCTCACCGAGTACAAAAGTGTTATAAATATCCAAACGTAAGGTCTTTTTCTTTTCTTGTTCCCATTTTTTGTTTCCACTTCTATTTTTAGACAAGAACAGGAAATGAAACAAATAATCTTATTCTGTAAATGCGCATGATCTGCGAAAATAAAATAATTAACTATAACATTGTCATGCCCATGAATAGCAAGTCTCGGCTGCTGCTTAAACAAGCACTCTTACTAGCAAATAGGAGGTCGGCAGTTGGCATTTTTTTAAAGAATTTATTACGCCACAACCAGTAATCAAATTCGCATAAAATTTTATCATTACAGGCTGAAACCAGGTGATTTTATTAATATATTTTCAGTAAGGTATACATTCTCCATTCTTTTCGATTACAGGTTTACAACGCCGTTTCATTGACTTCACTAAATTAATTAGAGTAGAATCGATGCAAAAATCTTCGTTCGGTCTTTGGGCATTACCACCAGCATGTACTGTTCCTAATTTTTAATACAGTAGAGAGTGGTATGTTTGTGCATTTATGTATTTCCTTGGCATCCCGCACACCCTCATTCCACAAATGTAATGTACTTACTGTTGAAGTTCTTGTTAAATGTCATTAGTATGTGAACGGTTTTCTCGAAAAGCAGAAATAATGACAAACACAAAAAGTATCAAATTTGAGTCACTTTAACTCGTGCTTTATTTTACATTTTGTGCGTCGCGAATCCGATCTAAATTGGGTTGTTTTTGTATCATAAAAAACTTTCCAATTTTTTTTTGTCCCGCACTGTATCGGTGAATCTAGTACTTCATCGCCAATTTATGAAGTCCTGCTGATGGGTGGTAATAATTGGCTCAGGATGTTACAGTAATTAGCTGCAACTGTCTGTGCCAATGCCTTGTTTATTAGACATGTACCCGCTCAAATGAAACCACTATCTATTCTTCTTGCATTGCTGTTTTATTTCATTTTTTTTCGGGGAGTGTTGTGTCGTATCGACTATTACGGGTGAGCAGTTAATAATCAGCACTAGGTAAAAAAAAAGCTCGTTATCTTTGCTTCCCCCGTTTTTTAAATAGTAAAATTTCCTCGTTATACCGTTATACAGTGATTGGCTGTAGCAGATGGTTGTGCAATTTTCGGTGCCGCAATCTCACTCCGCAGCGATCACTTGATCAAATCGCATGATTAAGTTCTTATTATTATTGTGTATGTATTATGCTATAGAGTCTATAATGCTGGTAATTTGTTCCGATATACGTGTGGGACAAGTTATAAAACTAATAATAATGCAAGGGGCCTTTTAAAAGCTATCGGCAGTCTAGCAATAAACATCTCTGTCACCAAAGTATATGCCTCCCTATGATAATGAGCGAGGTTTGTAAATATAAAAAATGAATAATGCATATACTGTTAAACAGTAGATAAGAAGAAAGTTATGCATAGTTCTAAATCTTTGTAAGTGCACTAATTTTCGTACCGACGATTGATTTGCAACGTCGAGTTCGTCGAATTATACAAGAGTGATATTGAAAACCCTTGTTTAGTCTGTTTACCTAAAAAATATGGTTTATTAAAAGTTTATTGATGTGCACAATTAAACTAATTTATTTTTGTAACTAAAAATATTTCCCAGTCCAACCATTCAAACATATCTTCAGTAGACCTTATTGCAATCTGGTATGATAATCTTTTAGAATAAGGGAAAACAAAACTTGGACCATCACCAAAATTTAAATCAGACTTCCCAAAACAAGGATAGTTATATTCACATTCATAAATAGCATGCTGACTATCAACAACAAAACTCACAGTGCTTTCAACCAAACTATTTTTATTTAATGAAAATATAAAACTTTCTGAAGTTGGTTTATTTGAATACTGTAATTTATTAGTTAATGAAGAGGAAGCTGTCCAAGCAATTGGGTTGTATCCACCAAGTATTTCTTCTGTATTTAACACTTTTCCAACAGCTACTGTGGGCCCTTTCCCAGCACACATTCGTCGAAAAATTTTAGGTGTATCACTCCTATTGTTCCTATAAAGTAGGGTAAATTTATAGAAACAACTGTTCTCTCCAGATACTCTTTGACTTTCTTGGTTCCTCTTCATTGATTCCGTTATCTTTTGTGCAATCCATGTTGCTTGTTGTTCATTAATGATAACTGAGTCAATACCAGCATTAATATTAGGAGTTTTGTCCTCTTTATTAGTCTTACTATTTATATTATCACAAGTTGCTTGACCTTTCCTTGGAGGTAAAACTATTGATTTTGGTTTGTAATTTTTATTCATATGATAAGAAACTATATCACGCTGCAACTCTTTTGTTAATAACTCATCATATGGGACAGCTTTCTCCTGAAAATCTTCAGATGAAATATTGAAAAACCTTATATGAGGAATACAATCAGATATAATTGCTCTGACTTTAGCAACATCTTCAGATGACCAGCTGTCCGGTTCATTTATGAGTCCTGGAACTTGATTAGTAGTCCATTGTATTACTGATGTCCAAATATCAATTTCTTCCATATTAAGTTCATCATGTTTGAGAAGAGTAATCAAGGTCTCTTTTGGTAGATTTACCAAATTATCAGACTTGAACATAATCTCTGGAGATAATATCATAATGTTGTCACAATAATTCAACAACTTGTTTAATAGACTTGAGGATAAGGCACATTTATGGATTGCAAAAATGTTGTGTTGTATCCATTCCTTCTGGTGACTAACCAAATAGTCTCCAACTGTGATAACAAAGTTATCTAATTCGAATCTGCAAGCGACATCTAAAAGGCTGACCCAGTTGATGACCTCACTTGAAACTTTTCCTGTGTAAATGAATCTATAAGCACAGGAAATTCGGCTGAGTAAGCAAAACGATTGCGAAATGACTGTAATATTAGCGTTTAAGTTAATAAACATTTACCTAAGTAAGATTTCAAAGACTTCGGATGGTACATCTTCGAAAGTCATAACTGTCCGCTGAAACTCTTCTGTATCTTCAACCATCATCTTCTCAAAATATGTGCTTCTCGTGCACAACACCACTGCATGAGCAAGAAAGATTTTATTGTTTGGCTCTCTTCCAACATTGATCGAAACATCTGTGTATTTGTTGCTTTCATAAAGCTTTTCATAATCCGATGAAAGATCTGAAGACAGATCAACTATATCAATTAAGCTAGTCATTTTAATTTCGAAATGATAACTTATGTCAAGATTTACGATAAACACGACGTATTAGTATTCCTCCGTGAATTCCGATAAAAGTTACACCAAAAACCGCGTTTCACAGCCGATCAATGATCAGGAGATCAAATAACGCGGAAGGCGACAGTGCAACGGAGACAGGAAAATGTATCTTAATCCCATGTATTTATTGGTTTTAGAGTATAAGAAAGCGCAGTAGGCGCAGAACTAGAAATAGATATATAAGCAGTCGTGCAATCGGTTGAATAAATTCGATCTTGAATCTAATATTTGTAATAATTACATTTAATCATATAATTAATCGAATAAACATGTTTATCAAGCAGTACTTATTTCACATTTTATAAGTATAATAAATCCCAGCAAGATAACTATTTTCGTAAATATATCCGTGTCTTAAAAATAATAAGCAATCCAAAATTGATTTTCTAGGAGAACGGAGTAAGATTAATTGTGACGTTGATTACTGTTATTAGTGAAATACGTACGGACAGACTACCGAACTTTAATTGGGAGAAGGCTGAATTTTGGCTAAAGAAGCAGGATTTATAGCACACGTCGCGTTTTTTTTTAATCATGCTTTCTCTATAATAGCAACACCTTGTTTTTTGTATTTTTATCAATGGGAGAAATTAACGTCGTCGCTAGGTATGATAGTATTAGGTTTCTAGCAAGTCTACCATGCCGAAAACTAGAATTACCCGACCAAATAATTGAAACAAGACTCCACTAGGCTAAACGTTAGATACCATCGGGACTATTTACTTGGCACTATTTTTCAATCGCAAGTTTAAGCCTGTAAAGCATTCTTTCAAGAGACGTTCAAGTGCGAAAGAAGACAGCCCGAGGATTTGGTTAGTAGACCTGACGACGAATAAGGAGGAGATCGAGAATTATGGAGTGAGATAGAAGGGGGTGAGAATTGTACATTGACACAGATTCAATGGTTGGAAAAAGAGCCATACATGGAATATTGCTTGCATATGCAGGTATGTTTGGTATTGTGGTGGGGTGGTGGCATATCTGATTCAGTTCAGTACAAGACTTGTTAACAAGCCTTTTTTTTTTAACTGTTCCCCTCGACAAACATAAATTGCCTTTTTTAACCTTTTTCAATTCCTCACACAACATAGTAATAGAATAAATGAGCATGCAAAGTGACAACATATCTCGCATTGCATCATATCATGAAGAAGCAGCTCCGGTTCTGATCATGAACAAACTTCTGGTCCGTTGTCCTTCCAAGCATAAGATGTCTTTGACAAATTCCCAAGAGGCACTGTAACGAGTGTGCTGTCACTCACTGCTATCGAAGATTATATCGCTTGTGGTAGAGATTTGTATGTACATGCATCTGATGAATCAGATGAGAATTGTTTATTACAGTCATAATGATTCTATGAATTAGGCTAATACTAATATTGGAAATTTAATTGTATTATAATATTAATATTATCAATGTTCTTTATTATTGTTATTTAGATATTCTATACTATTATTATATACATAAAGTATGATGGAATTGATATTAGTTTCGCTTGAAAGGGGTATCGGGTGTTTTCCCGAGTTGATCTTGTCCTGTGAGTCTGATAATTTTTGCGAACTGTTTTCAAATCAATAACAGATTGGTCGGTGTCGAAGCTCTGTCTCTTACTCCAGAGCCTTGCTTTCATTCATTAGTCTAACTACTTCATCTGCTACCCCCTCAAAGTATGTCTTCAGCTTAATGGCATTTGTCAATAGGTCTTCTACAGATTTTCGGTCTGAGACCTTTAATGGTATTGTTAAATCCAAAACCTCGTATGCAATGTAGACTTTGCCACCAACTGAATCCAGAACTGACACACTTATATGATCATTTACAACCAAAGCCCTGTCATTGGTACTGCAACCAAGGAATTGCTTATCTCTTTTGCTGCAGTAAATAGTATACGGAGTAGGCACATTCATCAATCACTTCCTCTCTAGCTGAATCGATCGGTGAGTAAACTACGCTCATACAAAATAGATCATTTTGACTGCAAGAGGACAGGCTTTGTCCTTCCCTTCAAAGACAACATTAAAAAGCCTTTTATGGCCATCTTTACACGAGCGGAGCAATTTTTTCCAATCTCTGATGTGCTTTGGCCGCTCAGCATCTAATTTCGAACATTCCCCAAATAGCAACTCCACACTATCATCCTTGGGTTTTTTTGCTTCTTCCTCTTCATTTGGTTTTATTTCGCTAAAGAACAGCTTGACCCGTATGTCAGGCTTGTTCCCAAATGTCTTCGAACCCATCTCCTTCTTCCGATCATGGGATGCTTAACCCTCAACAATTGAGACACAATTAACATGGGATGTTTGCTAAGAAGTTGAAAGAGAAAACGTACGCATCTGACCATTCTAAAAAATTAGCTATCAAATTGTGTGAACTCAGAATCTAAAGCCTAGGACTGGGATTTGTCAGGGCCATGAAATATGTTTACGTTCAGTGTCGACGGGGATACGGAGAGCCAGTTCAGTGGGAAATAACATTCACCACATACGCGTTTTCACTGTAATTGATTAACGAGATTGGAGGCATACATGTCTATATATTCCGCCTTTGAATGTTTAGTTCCAAAGCACAACCATTCGGCACTGAGAGTCTGTGAGAGTGAACAGTAAATAGGCGCTTGCAATTATGTAAAAATTGGCATCACAATCACGGTTGTATCTTTGGCTTTAGTTGCTCAGCTATCTCAGCCGAGACTTCATGTCGAAGAACGCTTGACATGTGTATATAACTTAGCATTGAGCGAGAGAATGATATCACTGTATACTGGTTGCACCGAATTGTCCGACCATCCGTAATTATATAAACACATCAAAATCCACACCGAAATTAAAAAAAAAAAATGGATTATAAACCACGTGTTGCAATTATTGGTGCTGGTATGATCGAAGCGAGAATGTTGACTTACATATGGTTTTTTTCGACAGAAACGTTCACATCATCCTTCCATGCTTAAATTAAGGTGTTACTGGTTTAATTGCCATTAAGCAATGTTTGGTCGCTGAATTGGAACCTATCTGCTTCGAACAGACCGACCATACTGGTGGATTATGGAGATATACTGAAGTTACCGAGGAAAATCAAAACCCTCATTCTTCTGTATATCGTAGTACCATCATCAACACATGTAAAGAACATGTATGTGTATGTCAATTAACTTTCCATATTGAGGTTAGGAATTTTTTCATGTATCTTAAAACTACGCAGATGACATTGTCTGATTTCCCAATTCCGGAAGATTGGCCGACGTTTCTTCCGCACTATAAAGTGGCAGAGTAAATATTAAAAATTTGCGCGTTAATATTGAATGCTGATCCTACGGACTAATGGCATAATCTCTCCACAAGATACTACGACTTGTATGCGGATAAATTCAACCTATGGCCGCATGTCCGATTTAACACAACAATATTGAATGCGTCTATGATCCCAGAGACAAAGAAATGGAAAATTGCATCGATTAAAAAGGGTGGAGAAAAGGAAGAAGAAGAATTTGATTATGTTATGGTATGTACTGGACATCATAGCGTTCCCCGATTGCCAAATTACCAGGGGATGAAGACATTCCCTGGTAAGCAGATACATTCTCACTTTTACAAAGAGTAAGTGGATTCGATTGTTCAATGAGTGAAGCGCAAATTAATATGCACATTTAAGAAGCTAAATAATATTATTGCAGACCATTTGCATACGCTGGCAAACGCGTTGTGGTTGTTGGAGTTGGTAACAGGTGAATGCAAAATGATCATTGGTGTCCTTGTATTAAATCGACATCTAATCGCTTTGCAATGTTTCCAGTGGCATGGACATATCTGTAGAGTTATCTCACTATGCATCACAAGTCTACCTAGTATCCCGTAGAGGTATCAAACTTTTTGCTTATTGTTCATATTACTCATTTATCGCGTGACACATTCTACAATAACGTTTTTTCTATAAGGCAGACTTCCCTGGATCCTGCCCCGCCGAGGTCCCTTCGGACGACCATTTGATCACTCAAACTCGCGCTTCGCCGGCTTGCTTCCTGGCTTTATCAGGAACTATATTGTCCGCCTATTCATCTCGCTTACCACCGGCCTACCTCCCAAGCACCTCCAACCGTTGTATCCATTTTCCGCTGCTCATCCATCAGTAAAGCCAGATTTTCTTGATCGGCTTTCAACCGGAACGATTGTGGTGAAACCCGATATTTTGTCATTGACGACTGATGGATCCGTGTCTTTTGTTGATAACACAATTGTCGATAATATTGATGTTATTTTTTACTGTACTGGATACAACAATGAAGTACGCTTTATGGATACGGAAATCATCAATGGTGGAGATATTGTCAGAAAGAATTTTGACGAAGGAGAATATAGGGAGAATATTACTTGGTTATATAAATTTATGTTCCCTCCAAGATGGAGTAATATTGCATTTTTGGGATTCGTCCAGCAGATTGGGGCGATCATGCCTTTGTGGTAAGCGTTACAACCATCGCTATAACGATTGCTAATCCTTTACTACAAGTCATTCATACAAAAATCATAAAATACCTGTAACATTACTTCCCCATCCAACAGTGAACTCCAAGCCCGTTATGTGACAGCGTTGATTAAAGGCAAGATTTCGCCTCTGCCCTCCTCCGAGGAAATGGACAAACGCATTATGGCCTACCATAATCGAAATCGTAAGAAGTTCTATGAAGCGGCCAGACACACTATGGAGATTGAAATGATGCCGTATTGCGATACAATTGCAAAGGATATTGGATGTTATCCAACATTGACGAAAGTACTGTGGAAATATGGATTTGGGATTTGGAGGAGGGTGTTATTTGGCGTTCCTACACCTATGCAAGTGAGTATGTTCTTTGAATGAAGCTCGTTGGTACAGGATAAGATTACAAATTTTTGAAGTTGTCAATAACCGATTTGCTTGATAGTATATATTGATGATTTCTCATTTTCTTCTTAGTTTCGATTGTTGGGACCTGACAGATGGCCCGATGCTGCCAAATGGATTCGTATATATAACAAAAGCTGAATGGAACTGATAAATACTTTTATAATTGTTATAATGGCGACGGTAGAATTTATTGACCTGTCAACATTCAGTTTGTGGAATGAACTCTGGCATTTATAATAGCGAATTGATCATGCGGAGAAAGGCGAGATTATTAAAAACACTCCCCCCTCCCCCCAGAAAATTTCCAGAACAATATTTAATAAAAAGTTCGAAAGATGACTTGTAGCTCCCGACTCTTGCTATGTTTAAAGATCGCTAATCAGTATTGGTAATATTTTGTCTCAAGATTTAATATTCGAAAAGTCTATTTTTCATACGTAATATTTTATATGTGCTAACTCTATTGGACTGAAAATCTTCGTTTATGCGAATGTCACCCTGCAAAAAGAAAAAGCTTTTTGTAACCGCGTAATACCCATTGTACTAATACTATTGTGGTCAAAAAAAGGAACAGAAAAATCTATGCAAGCCGTAACTGTCGCTATATCTATACAAAAAAAAGTATTAAGCTGCGGAAATGCATGCAATTAAGTTTCGTGAACGTGGAATCTTTGGTTGTTAGAAATACTGTACGTGAATATTGCTGACGTTAATAAACAAATCGCATGCGTATACCATATCCACAATCATACAAAATACTTTACTGATGGATAGTATTCCATTCTCGTTCTTCATTCTTTGAATTCTTATACTTTTGGAAATGAGTCAATTTCCAAGGAAATATATCATTTTTTAGTAATGCTCTTCAATTCGATAGACATACAGTATCCTTTATAGTGTATTGTATATCTCAACAATTACGCAACATAGAGAAATAAAAATAAGTTTATTTAAAGCTTCTCGATTACTTTATTAAATGTAAAAATTTTAGTACGAAATTCTATCTCCATTTTTTGCAGTTCACTGATAATTGTTTTAATTCACTAATCTCTTTGGGCATTCTTTTTTCCACGCTATTCTAATAGAACTGTTGGATAATTCTATAACACGAATATTGGTTTGCGATAAAAATCCTTTGCAGCACGAGACGTGTGCTTGGGATCATTATCTTGTTGTAAAAGTCAGCTTTTACCATACAATAGTTGGCCAACAGGAAGAAAGAAGCTGGGCTTGCAAAATATTCATTATCCATTATTTCTGTAAAACAAACAAGGCGGCAAACGAATTGTTCGATACGGTTCGTGTGAACGGCCATATTACCACCCTTATGTTCAATGGTGCCTATCGCATTGAGTTTTCTAAGGATAGTATGAAGGGAATTTTCGGTTTTGATGTATTTTTTTTGGCAGAGGAAATTTTTGTGCTCAAGCTTTATGTTTACATTTTACAGAAAAAAAATAGGTTTTTTTGTTAGCAATAAGTAAATAAACATTTATATTATTACGTAAACAACTCCCGTTTTGCTCTTGCTTCCAATCGAGAGAAATACATCCGAAATCACAGACCAGTACAGCACCAGTAATATTGAACGCATGTGGAAGGACGCCTGAAGCTATATATAAACAGTGTGCGATTCTTAATAATTGTGTGAACAGAATGAGCCATTTGGTCCTTCATAGCTATAGAAATAGACCGTATCATATAGACGCTATGACAAATAGAAGAATGAATACATTCTGCTACAAGATACGTCGACTATCCGAGAAAACATGGATTCTTACGCTATAACCGCCGTAACGGGAAATTTGAAGGTTAAAACTGGTTAAAATCTCCGCAATAAAGAGATGGGTTTTTTTTAATTCAGCGACAAGTTTCTGGTAGCAACTGATCTAGTAAAATTGAAGGCAAAACCAGAATTATGCAGAGGACTCCGGAGAATGGTCATACGAGGCATTCAAATTCATGCTGAAAAATAATGAAGAACGCCTCAATGGGCATTATTTCTGTCGGGTTTCCAAGAGCGACAGAGGGGAAAAGTTGGAGAGAGCTTGTAAGTGACTACTTTATTGAAGAAAAAAGTTTAGAACACCTTACCGCCGTCGGATCCATCAGCGGAACCCCAGTGCGTAAAAAACGGATCACAAGGCTCATTCGAACAGCGAATATTAGAGTCCGGTCTGCTCGAGACAAGAATTCGATATTATCGACACAACAACAACAACAACATCCCGGTCAACAGTGGATTATTTGCGATAGTAGATAAGTTACCGAGTAAAAACTTCTGCCAAAACCGAGCCGTGCGTAAAATATTAGAGATTGTGTCGTTGACAAAAATGAATTTGCAGCAGCCACAGATATAATTTCTAAAGTTTGCAGAGGTTGCAGCTAAAAATTTTTCAAGGCATACCTACTACTCTACGCACTGTACAAGTAAGCAGTGAAGTAATTCAGAAGTTAGCTAATAAGTCTTTTTTGACACTCTGTAGTAGAAGACATACATATTACCATAAAACAAGCTTTTGAGCAAGATATCAATGAAAAGCATATCTAATACAATATAAAGAAAAGAACAGAAAGGCTTGATATTGTAGTTCAGAGGTCCAGAGTAACATTACAGAGGGTACTCAAAAGTTTATTATTATGGACACTTTATTATTGCATAAATTGCTCAGTTTTTTATTATTATAACAGTGTCTTTCACAATAATAAAAAATGGTTCTACTACACCACTATATTAAGGCGTTTTATGGTGAAAGAGTGGGATAGTATTCCGGACTTGATTGTAAAAAAATTGGTAAACTCGATGAAAAGATGTTGTGAGGCGATTATTAAAGGTAGTAGATTTTACAGTTTAAATGAGGTATTTTGAGTCCCAATTAACTTGTTTATTGTAATTTTACTGAGGACAAGATTTTTTGTCCCATACTGTATATTTGCACGATTCCCTACCCCACCAACTTCTGGTTGGCACACCCAATCGTGTGGAATGTCATCAATAATCTATTGTATTCGATTATCACTTAATGTGCGAGAAGCAACGAAAATCTATTGTTTGACAGAATGGTGTAATTGCTACCTACATTGTTAGTGTCAAAGTCGATATTTCCCTCACTATATGTGTTGTTAATGTACAAATTATAGACACCCCCCAATACGTGGGTCTCCTCGTTGTCCACAGATAACGTCACGAAAACTTTATTCATTATTCGCGCAAAATTCGTTGCACATTAATATGTAAGGATGCGAGTTTGCTCATACCTGAATCCAAACGAAACAATTATAAATCAAGCGTTACAACCGTTTGCGCTATCAACAAATCTCAATAGTTTCGTAGCAATTTTCTTGTAGTTTAAACATTAGAGTATTATTACATAAAAATTTTATTATATTTTTCAAGAGAGTACACAGACCCTCAATCATAGTTTTGCATAAGTAATAAATTCGAATCTGTTCCTATTGGTTTCTTGCGCTCTCTCACGCTAACATAACGGACTCGCGAGATTTCCTTGAACGACAAAATCAAACCCATTTCTATCACCAATGTCCATCCAATGAGGTTACATGTCGTGTCGAGTCAATATATTCCAAATAGTTCAACTCAAACTACCATATTTTTCGTTCCATGTTTGATATATTTCCAAGTCGCTTGTGCTAACACTTGCCCGCACTAGCGTTTAAAAGCATCAGTACAAAATCCATTAAAACTCCAGACCCTATATAAATTGATTTCACTTGCCTTGAGTCAATGCACCCAAAAAGTCTGTATAATATGCGTAGTACAATATGAATTATTGAGTGTTAAAATTACATATAAAACATGACTAATTTATGATTACCTTGAAACGTCATTGGGCGAACATCGTCCGCTGTATGTGAACATGTATTATAATGAGAGATAATCTATAATTAATTAGATGATTTGAATATCTTTATTACACTCACCTGATATGCTTCGTATGTCTTCGATTGTGCGTATTGGACCCAATGCGGCCTCTGTTATAGTCAATGTTAGAATAAGTCCTGCATCCCGCCTTTTCGAATTGTGCAACATACCTCTACAGAGTCCATCCATGTCTGATCCAGAATATCCTTCTGCTCTTTTGCATATTTCATGGGTCTCCTCTTCTGACAATGAATGTTTCTGCTTTTTCAACAAATTACATATGATCCCGTATCTTCCATCATGTTCAGGCAGTGGAATATAAAGCCGTTTTCTAAATCGACGCCCTAAAATAGACGAGCATTAATAGCTGTTGGGGGGAATCATGAAATTATATGTGCGAAATTGATACTAACTTGCAGCTTCATCTATTTCCTGTGGCCTGTAAATAAATTAGTGATTGAATTACATATGATATAGGAATCAACTATAGTACAGCTATGAAGGACTGTGGTTATAACCTATTGGTTGCACCGACGATCAGAATACGGTCTTCTTCCTCGGCTGCTGTCTTAACACCATCCTATATTCGTGCATTATGATGATTGCAAATAAAGAATAGGTAATGAATGTAGAACCCATGACGTTAGCATGGAATTCGCATCGCGTGAGCAACCATTATAAAACTACATACAAACTGCACAAGAAATTCCGTCTTTATACGACGCGACGCTATTTTTGAGTGTAATAATTATATGATTATATAGTTCCACTTGCGGCCCAATCAATGACCATGCTGTTCTCAAACTCACCCTCAAACTCGCCATCAGTCCTTTGTGTTAGCAGTGAATCAATCTATTATGTTGTGTTGCTATTATTAGAATAAGGTCGCATAATCATAGTCTACCATAATTATGATTACCTCATCAACGAAAACCACTGCTGGCTGATTCACCCGTGCAACTGCAAAGAGTGCACGAACCTAGAATATTGGCGTCAATAATGGGAACATGCTGCAACATTGTAGTCATGTATTGGAAATTGCACGTTACCATTTTCTCGCCATCTCCTACCCATTTTGATGTCAGCGATGATGAGCTACAGGAATACGATACATTAGCCGTGATGCTCCAAACCCTGCATTCTGGAAGACATTTGCTAACCTGATGCTAAAAAACGTTGCCCCAGACTGACTGTAATAGAATTAGAAAATGATAATTAGCTTAATTCCAGTCTTGAGAGGCAAATTGTTTAAATAATTATGTTTGCGTATCAAACATCTATACTTTCATAAGTACCTAGCAATACATTTGCCAATCAATGTCTTTCCTAACATAATCAACATTGAGTATTAACTAAATAGATGCACAATCTTTGACGGACAAAAAAACTACCTGTTCCGGGTGGTCCGAAAAGCAGTAACCCTAACGAATTGCAGGCGGTCAATAACGAGAATGTGCAAGCATTAGAATGCGATCAATTCTCCTTTACCTTTCGGTGGCCCTCTTAGTCCGGTGAAAATATCACTATATTTGATATGATAAACAGAATTTCAGACGCGTCAATAAGATCAATTACTGCTCCCGCTACTACGTACGGTCGCAACATTGGCCAAGTAACAGCTTCCTGGATTGTTTTCTTTGCGTGTTCTAATCCGGCAATGTCATCCCATGTGACATTCGGTGTTTTATCCATAATCTATAACGTAAAAAAGACATGAGAAGCATGCAGTATTTGAATGAAATGAGATAGTCCATCTCACCTCATTTTGAATCATCTCCACCATCTTTGGATCAATATTCCTCAATCTCTCATCAACCGGTTCTTCATTTTCTACTGGTTTAAGTAACTTGGCCCTATTCCTACAAAGATAAGTGAAAAATTACAAGATAACGAAAAACCAGTATCTTGATTATTTTTCATGATGTGCAACTAGTTACTCTCGCAATTGTCTCGTCATTAACTACATCTCTGTTTTACTCACCTTGTTACCTCCCTACCCTCTTCTGCACATTCACGTTTTAACAAAGGCGACACAAATTTGCCACGCTTGCCAACATCGGTTGAACTAAGTAAGCGTCGACGTAAATTTGCAGAATAATTATACTGTGTGCTTTCGTCATCGGCATTCTGAGATTGTTGAAAGCGAGATTTGCGCTTTGCTTCGGCTGCCTTAATCAAAAGGAATGTAAACATAATTGCTAATACATTTCACGAATTAAATACAACAAAGAGAAAAAGCATAGTGGTTCAGTGCGTACTAATTGTTGTTTTGCGGTGACAAAGCTACCACACACGGCTGGTTTTTCACATTCTTCATCGATCTCCATGTCATCGCTAGTTTTCTTATTATGCTTATAACGAGAATTGATAGAAATGAGTCATTATCAATTCCAGGTCAAAATTGAACAAGAGGCAACCAAGTCTACCAAGTTGGGCAGTCCATTAGAGAATCCGGTATTCCTAGCATTCGTGGCTTTATCATCTATGTCCATCTTATTACTCTGGCTTTGATTTGGCTTGCACGGAATACTATTCTTAGCGAATAAATTATGGTCTGTTCTAACTAGAGGTTTTTTATTATTAGGATTCTTAATAAAATACGAGGATATTAATGATGAGGCTGTACGAGGTTGTCGCTTTGATTGAGGATACTCTGTAGTCAACTTTTGTGTATTATGAGAGACGTCTTGAGCAGCCTGGCTTGTATGAGATCCAAACTGACGTTTGTCTAATTGTGCCTGTCGTAGCATTGAAGCTGATGGCTGGTTGGACTCGGGCGTATCAGAGAGTTTGTCCGTCTTTGCGAATTGCAATAGACCGTTGATATCAGGAACTTCGAGAGTATCATATTCATCATCGATACTACATTCCTGCATTCGTTTTTATTTATCAGCTACGTAGTAACGTTTATCAAGTCGAGCATATATTTTTATATAATATACACACCATCTGCCCAACAACATCCATATCCAACCCTGACTTTACTTCTTTGATAAAGCTTCTCACGCCTTCCTTTTCCTTACTTTTCAATACCCTGTCCACTTCACCATTAATAATCTTATCCATTCCATTTTTGCTATCGATCCAGCATTCATCATACAATTGCCAAACTTTATCGGCCATCTCTTCGCTATCAAGATGCTCCACAAAAGAATTGGGAGTATCACTTGAGAGAAGCATCAAAGCATCACGATAATTAGACGCTGCCAGTCGCATGTAAGCAGAAGACGAAGAATCATTAGAGGAGGAGGCCAGAGCACGATATTTTTCTGCAGAAAAAAGGCGCGTTTGAAAATAATTGAGCTTATATTGGCGCTCTGTATTCATAATAATGCTTTATTTAAAAATTAGCGAGGGATTATGGTGATTTTATCTTCGCGTTCGGAGAATTTATGTCACGTGACGTTGGTTACACGTACGCGATAAAACATAAATTTCTTAACACGTTTAATGTTAACAATATTAATATTGCGCCAATATCGACACACTGTAGTTCCAATAGCAGCAAATTGGGCACGGAAATTAGAGCCCAGGCATAGTCCAACACAGTATACCGTTTAATTCTAAAATAATCCATTACAAGATATTGACTAAGGCAATGGTAATATAGAAACACCTGGATATTATGCGCTTTCATATTTCTTACGCGTATTTGATACATAAATGTCTCGCCATTCACTATTTCTTGTTTTATATTTTTCTAACGTATTCTTCATTTATTTTCCGCTGAAATCTCCAACGGGGTCGCTACAAATTTTTAGTATCCGGAACATACGATTATTTTTACTCTAACTGGCTAGGAAAAAAAATCCCAACTTCCAATAATTAGTTGTAAAATATTAAAGTTTTAGCTTTCGACTATTCCCACAAATCCGCAGCTCTTGGGCGATTTCTAATCGGACGAGTATTACTGTCAAGCGCTTTCCCGTTTTCGTCTAACGTTGTGCTTCTCCTTTCGCCTCCGTCTTGCTGTCGTGTTACTTCCTTGCCTTTATCTTTCTCATCTCGCTCGTGACGGCTTTTTGCATCATCCACACTTCTGCCGTCCTTTAACTTCTTCACTTTAGAATGCGCCCCATCACCATAATCCAGACTACGTTTATCCTTTTTCGATTTATCATTATCGTCTTCATCTCGGCGGTTTCTCTTCTTATCCTTTCGGTGTCGCCGTTCATCGTCACTTCGATCCCTGGCGTAGTCTTGTCGGTGTTTTGATCTAGATTTCTTTGAACGCCTCTTCTTCTTCTTAGTGCTCTTTTTGGATGACGACGAGCTTTTATGATCATGATGACGATGCTTATGGCGACGAGATCTTTTCGTATCAGATTCTGGAGATGACGATGATGATTCACCGGATGACGTGGCGTCATCTTCACTTGCATCGGGTGTTCGCTTACGCTTTGGAGATTGTGGCTTTTGTTCATCCCGGGAGACTACTGAAACAAGAAGTATTGAAAGGGAGAAGAATTAGCCAAAAAATTTATGATGCCCTTGACGAAATTGAAAATCACACCGACGTCCTGGACCGAAAAAGTTCTCAATATTAATATTACTTTGCTTTATTATATTATCTTCACTTTCGTCGGGTATTCGCTTACGCTTTGGAGATTGTGGCTTTTGTTCATCCTGGGATAATACTGAAACACAAAGTATTGAAAGGGAAAAGAATTAGCCAAAAAATTTACAATGCTCTTGACAAAATTGAGAATCACTAAACCTCAATATTATTATACAGTGTGACACAAAATTATTGATAAAAAAAATAATAACACGATTCAAAAAATCTTATGAAAAAAAAAGAAGTTAAAACCAAATATTCCAGAGGTCAATAATTTGATGGGCAGCGGACGTTGGTTTTAGCAAGATAGTTATTCTAAGAATATGACCCGACTTGCCCCAAATTATAAAAATGTTCCCAAGTTATTGACTGCCCTGGTCATGATCTTAATCCATTAAACGTTCCTGGAATATTTGTTTTTTGAAAAAATAATAAACTACGTATGCTAAAGAATAATGATAAATGGGCCGAGTTTTATAATGGAATAGAGTTTAATTCCAAAACTATGCCAATTAAATTTAGTTAGTCTATAAAGGTAGAGTAGAGGTAAGCTCGTAATAAAAGAGAACAAATTCCATATTAAAAAGTTTTCATAAGATATCAAACAACATATTACCGACAACAATTGGTGCAGTTGTTAACTAGCAATAGTCTCTTCTTTTAAATCAATAATTTCGTGTCACACTGTATTATCTTCGGGTGTTCGCTTACACTTAGGAGATTGTGGCTTTTGTTCATCTTGGGATAACACTGAAAAAGAAGTATTGGATGGGAAAAGAATTAGCCAAAAAAATTACAATGCTCTTGGAAAAAATTGAAAATCACCCCGACGTCATAGACCAGCAAAGTTCTCAATATTACTTTGCATTATTATATTATCAAACGTTTCCTTGTTCAATACATCTCGTTGACCCTTCTCCGTCTTGCCAGTGGATTTCTCTGCTTTGTAGTGCGGATGGGGATTCGCAACATTGAACCGTTTGCATAATAGTCGGTTAGGATAAAAGTCTACCTTCGTACGCGTCAACGGCCCAAACATGTTCATTCTGGCCGCAGATTCTGCTGTGGAGGTTATTGCAGATTCTGTTTCCGATTTCTGAATCTTCACTTCTGGAATTATCGGCTTAACATTCAAACCGCCTTCAGGCTTACTTAATTCGTGACCAGTCAAAGAACCTCCACTGACAAAACGCGAGGAAATCATGCTGGGCCCCTTGAGAAAAACATTGGCTTTTTTGGTTATCTGGTTTGTATTGGTTTCTCTGGTGATCTGTGGGTCCTTATTATCATCGGGTTCCTTAGGAAGATCGTGTTCTTGTTCGTCAGTCTCCGTAGCTGGTCCAGGCGTATCAAAGATATGAAATGGCGTGAATCCTGCCGGCAAATCCGGTGGGGAGAACCTGGTTCATTATATTATCAAGTGTTGTCATCACAAGCATAAACGAGTCCATATGGAACTCTGAAGAGGTGGAGACTTCATACATACCATTTATCCAAAGGCACAGGCCTGCGAGCTAAGATAAACCCCACAAGCGGCAGCTTGTTATCACGACAGATGCCACGATCTCTCTATAAGGAAACGTTCAATTTGTGATAATAGTGTAGTTAGTAACATTGAAAATAACCAATTTATACACACTTTCTTATTAAATTATCATACCTTCGATAAAGTATTGCTAGCGCTATGTTGCTTTGTTTTCGTTTCTTTTCTGCCCATCACAAATGTGTCTTCGTCTTCATCTACCAACGACCTGAGATAATCGGATATTGATGGTCCATCGTAAATATAGTCTTCATCCTCATCTTCTAAAGCACCCACACCAATTCCACCTGAAACAAAGACGGGACCAGATTAACAAACAAAAAAGGCTTCTCATCAATCAACATTGCATTTTGTACTAACCTCTCATAGGTAACGAGTCTTTATGGCTCTTTTGGAGATAAGTGTCACCCACACCTACAGCAGAATAGATGGAATTAATTTGGTTACAAACTTTGACGAGGGCATTTTTCTTACCTTTGCTTTTATCCTGCTTTCTGTGGAATTCTGGTGCGTTCTCGTATGGATCAAATCCAAGACCGAAATTATTATTCTTCTGATTAAATTGAATTAGCTGGGTATCCTTGGGAGCAAACGTAATATCTGAGGTATATGTACTATCAACATCAGACCCGCTCTCACCTAATTAACAAGCGATTAATTTGTTAAATACCATCATCTATTAGCAAGTAGAAACGGGTACGCAACCTACCATCTTCCTTTCTTGAACGAGCAGGGACGCGCGGTCCTACTCCTTGGCCTTCACGCCATCCCATTTGTTTCAATAATCTTATGCCTTTGTACAAGATCTTTGTATCAGTAATCAAGCATGGCACGGATCACTTCTAACAAGCCGATAAACTGGTTCAGTCATACCTATTGGCTCTCTGTTCGGCATGACCAGATCGTCAATAAACCTGTCTGGCAATACACCTAATACACTGGGTGGAAACAATATATGTGTTAGAATCCTCTGGAACAAATACTGGTGATGGGTTTTACGTATTCACCTTCCACTTTCGTTCATCGCCGTCGCAATGGCACGCTTTCGAGCAAGATCACGCGCCGTAGATCCAAATGCATCAAAGTCTTCTGTTGTGACTAATTTTTGAGTTTGCCCAAGTTCCTAGAAAGATCTCAATACAATAAATATGATACGTTCTTTGGCGATAACTTCCCTTTTAAAACACATACCTCAAGATCTTCTTCGTCCATAAAATCCTCTGGCTTGGATTCTTTTCGATCAATTCTCTTTCCACGAGACGATACAAAAGAAGTAGGCGTCCATCCTTCCCAAAATAATGGTATGTAGTTTACAATCCAAATAGAAAAAAGAAGCATTTTCAGTACTATACCTTCTTTAGATCCAACGGTGTTGAAGTAACCAGCAGACCAGCCGCCTTTGAAGGCTCCATGAAGTCTTCTCAATCCTCTTTCATCACGCACCTTTTAGAACAAAGTAAGATATACCTTATCTATTTGTTGCGAAATAGGTGACACGCAGTAAACGTACGTACTTCTTGTTTCCATACAGGTTGGTATTTCCCTTTATCCTTGTCCTCAGAATTTACATTAGGAAGGGAAGTACCATAAGTGACAAATGATCCACTTTCGTATTCTTCTTCGTCGCCTGTATCGTTTCTGAACTTTCTTTTTGACATTAGTTTGCTCTGTTTGTGTCCACGAGATCTTCAATTGATTTCTGTTTGCTGATCTGCAAACTTCAGTCCTGATATGGATAATTCGAAAGAATGCTCACATACATATTTTGTAAGTCGCGGATTATGACGTACGTCATAGTAATATTTATTATGTATAACTGACATCGTTGTTCCTCATCTAAATATTCACTTATGAAAGATACAAGAGAAATGAAAGTATACATCCAAAATTTAGCACCAATGTTGCGTTAGTATTAGATATCTTCAAAGAAATAATCATATAATTCTAAGCAATGCATTTGTGAGGATAGTTTCCCATTTTGTAAAGCTGGCCATAAACTGTCAGAGATAATGTTCAGTGTTCTATGTAACAATTGAAGCTATTGACATATGTCAGTTTGAATTATGACAGATTAGGATTTACATCCATTCCGAACTATATTCTACCTCAATTTGCCTTATCACTGTGTCAAGTTCTTGCTTATGTTGTATGCACAACAATACTTTATCATCTAATTGTACAAGAGACACTGTTGATGGGCTATGATACTATATATACGTGTACTTGAGAATCATTCTACCGTTTGAGCGAGTGCGCAATTGCAATTGTTAGGTAGTAGTAGCTTGCTATATTACTTTTATGATTCTGTTCTCGAGTTAGCTTGGGATTCTACCGTCGAGAATAATATATTCAATGTTACGCAGAGAATCACTATTACCAAGACTAAATATCAGAGACAGAGTAAACGAATGATGCTACACAGAGTATGAACTCAGTCGTTTGCTATTTACTTCGGAATTATTTGATTGGTCAAAAATTCACGTATTCTGCGGCACATCTGTATTACTTAGATTTCGTTGATTAGTTGAATAAACAGTTTGAGAGGGCTAAAGTTCCTATAAAAGACCTTTTCCCTTGACGGAAAAGTAAGTTGGTTACTGCTGAAGGGTAAAACTAAAGCAGAAATACTTACCTGGGGTGGTTCATCTCTTGTAATAAAATATTCAACCTTTTTTGATCGATTTAATAAAGCTAATGAAAATAGTATACAGTATCAGGAACCGCTTCTGCACGGGTTAGCTCAGTAAATAGCATATTAATCATATAACTTTAACAAAAAAATATGTCTAACGCTTTTCTTATGTGAACGCGACGGGCTAAACATGAGAGTTCTTCTCATGGGCTAGTATTACCCACCGATCCGAAGCATAACCCAATGAGTGCAGAGTAATTAAAATTTCGCAAGGCGTTACGTTAAACTCTGTATAGTTCAGTGTTTGAGATATTAACTCTTCGCAAGGTGTCGAGCGTAATCTCATTACAACTGAATACAAGTAACTCATAAAATCGATTAAAGATGTTGAGAAATGCATTGTGGCAAGATTAAAACTTGAATCCGATCGAACATGTATGGTTAGAATCGGAACGTTGGCATCAAAAGTCAAAATAAAATAAAATAAAATAAAATAAAATAAAATAAAATAAAAAAAAATAAAATAAAATAAAATAAAATTAAAGACTTTATAGGAACTGCTTTACTAGAGGAATGGATCAAAATTTCGGAATGTGTACATGTGAATTTAGTTAAAAGCGTGCCAAGAAGAATTGAAGCTGTATCGCGATAACGGGTGGCCAACCAAATATCAAATTTGTAATAGATTACTAGAAAGTTGTTCTACAAATTTTTATTAAATTACTTATTTCATGGAAGTGTATGTTGGGAAGAGAGAAGCAACTTGTAATTCGTATTCAGGAGTCAAAGAGTTTTACTGTTCTATAGAATTATGAAGATAGCATGCCTTATGTATTACATCAATAAGTGTAAATAATTCGTGTGCGTCATGTTAGGTTACTTTCGGAATTTCGTAAGTTAGTACTATCGTAAGTCCTGTCACGTCACATGTAGAAAACTACAAGGAGACCATCTAAAGTCATATATCCTATCGTATTCTAGGCAAAGACTATGGAGTAGGAAAATCGACGATACAGGATGTTATTTCTCAATCTAGAGAAATGGTTAGCTATTGACACTAACGTGACTTCTACCTCCGACATGGCCAAACTTAGGCATTATATCAAATGTAGAATTTATTGCTGTTGACGGTATGGAGAATTTAAATGACGTCGATATCATTCAAGATGTTCTAAATCAACAAACTCGAATCAGAAGATAATTCCGATACAGAAGAGATAAAAATTCGTTTAAAGAAGGTGAAGATGCATTAAGAAAGTCTTTATCGTTTCTTGAACAACAGGATAACGATAACATTAATATTCGTGTAGATGATTT